GCCTGACGTAGTTCCAGTTCCTCCCTGGCAGTTTTGGGCTTGTTAGATTGGTTGGAAGAGTTGCCAGACATAGTGAATAAGCTGATGGAAGAATATGGGGGGTAAGAATCAAATAGGACGCTTTGGCAACACTATATCTGTGAAATCTGTCCCCTGGAATCCCCCATTGACTTCTCCATTGTCTCACACTCATTTCTTCCGGACCCTCATTTCTGACCCCTGTGCCTCAAGGGTTCGGCCTAAAGGGGGAGATACTGTCATATGCCATTCTGGACTCTCAACTCTAAACCTGCTTCTCCAGATATCTGGATCTGAGATCCAGATCTCAAATGATCTGATCTATCTTTATCTCCCTTCCAGAATCCAAACCCTATATCAGCGCCCAACTCCATTTAGACTGCCCCTGTCTCTGGACTCTGGTTAACTATGTTTCCATTCTGATTACTGATCCGTTACATACATTTCATTTCTGGTGTTCATTATTTGTGATCCATCCTACTTACTAATAGACTCTGCATATGCTTTGTACATAGCCTTTATATTTGCCGACTGATTCCTATATGATACCTACAGTATATAAACCTCCTGTAACTCTTGGAAATACTCCAGTTCAAATATCATCTTAGTTCCTGCTCATTCCTGTGTCCTCCAGACTCGAGATAAGTCTCTTGTCATATTCCAAGTCTTAGGATTGCATCCTAGACTACATTTCCGACTCTACCTTAAGGGTAGTCCATCCTCTGTTAGTTTCTAGTCCAGACTTCATCCGGATTAGTCTTATCTGCTTGCCCAGGTAACATCCGGATGTTTGTTGGATTTATCTCATGTTTCAGATCTGGACGTCTGTTATCCACCCTAGTCAAATCCCAGAAACTCCGGACGACTGTTCTAGCCCCCGGAAATTAAGGGCACATACTCGGGAAAGGGGCACAGCATATGAGCTGAGGCCAAGCCCTTGTGATCCGACCCCCTTGAGCATGCAACCTTAACATGAGCTGTCATCTCTTCATATAGCAATGCCCTGTACTATAATCCTGAGCATCCTGATTTGTCTATCCCTCAAGCCCATGGCTGTTGAGATGAAATTGGTCTCATGTGAGCCATTGCAGTCAAGGTTCATCATTTTCTTGAATTATTTGACTATCATTCAAGCAACTATATCAGGCACAATCCTTGGCTCAATGAAAGCAACTTTGGAAGAACATCCAGACCCATGCACCTAACCCAAGCCCTGTTGCCTCGCAACTGTTACTTGACATGCTCATCTGATGGTCCTCAACTTATGTAATGCTTGACTGTGCTGAGAAGAAGAGACCTGTATGTATGATAATATAAATGACAAGTCGAAACTAACTATTGTTCTTTAGTATGTTGATACTTTTGTCTATGAGCTTGGCCTTCATAAGGCAAACCTTGTGAAATGAGCCAAAATTGATCAATTGAAGCTGTGTGAGGATGAGTGGGCTCATATTACTTTATTTACATCTCTCCTAGCCATGAGTAGGAAGTTCCCTTCGTAACTTAAGCTGATGATTACTTTAGCATGCCGACAAAGCTCATCAAAGTTTCTCATCTGATAGGGAGGCATCCCTTCACCTTGCTTTGCCAGCTCTCAAGGCCTTACACAAGGCCTGGTTGACATGTTCCAAGAATCTGTTAAGAACCATGCTCAAAGGAGAGAGAGACTGACTCAGAGGGGCTTGGCCTCAGCTCGTACGCTGTGCCCCTTACCCGAGTATGTGCCCTTCATTTCAGAGGAAGTCCAATGATGGTCTGATGAAGTCCAGGGGACTTCTGGAGGCTGGCTACTCTGGTGGAGAGTGTGGGAGGACTTCTGGAGGAGCATGGGAGAGTTCCGGAGGAATGCAGGAAATGCTCAGGAGAGTTCCCGCTGCAAGGTAATACTTCTACAGGAAAACAGGATGGACGGATAGGAGGTCCAGAGGTCCGGAGTACAGAGGACAGGAGGTCCGGAGGTATGGAGGATGGAACATCTGAAGGTACGGAGGGCGGAACGTCCGAAGGACAGGATGCCTGGAGGTATGAGGGACAGGAGGTCTGGAGGTCCGGAAGGAATAGGGGCTACATTGGACTTGATCTGATGTAGAAGCAAACAGAGGTAGACTACCCTAAGGTAGAGTTGGAGGGATGGGAAGTGGACCTAAGTCCGGAAAGAGGGTAAGTGCCAGAAAGGCAAGACTCTAGCCTAGGGAAGCAATCCCTAGACTTGGGACAGAGACATAGGGGGCAAATCCGAAGGTCTGGAATTCTGGCCTAGGGAATCCTTCCCTAGGCCTTACGGAAAAGGACAAGACTCAGATGGACTGAAGTCCAGAAGATGATTGGCAAGTAGAACAGGATCTAAGATGATATTCAGACTGAGGACTCTACTGTAGTTGTACAGGGGTTATATACTAGAGGCTATCTGAGAGGATCAGTAAGCAAAGGAGTAAGGCTATGTACAAGCATGTGGAAACACATTGGTAAGTAAGACGGAACATAAGTAAATGAACTCAGAGATGAAACTAGTACAAGGATCAATCAGCAAGACGGAAAGAGAGATAACCGAGAACCAGAAAGGTGGAGATGCCTAAATGGGGATAGGTGCAGGATCTTGGATAGAGGGTGGGAATAGGTCTGGAGATAGTAACAGTTAATATCTGGAGGTCTGGAGATCTGGGGCTCCGGAAGGCAGGGCAGAAACAGGACTGAGATATGTGAGGTGGTGGATGTAGTCCAGAATCCAAGAGGAGGCAAAGTCTGGGTGTCTTGCTGGATGGAATGTGTGTAGGGTGGACAGGATAGGGGATCCAGGAATGAGTTGGATATGGGGTCCGGAAATAGGTCCGGAAAGCGTGGGAATATGATGGGATCTATGTCTAGCATACAGGATATGACAGAATCCCAAGTATGAGTCATTTTGTCAAACCCTACAAGGAGGTATTGCAAAGATCCACGAGTAATATGACTGAAGTTCAGAGTGTGATGTATACATTATTTCAATGTGTAGGTGATCAGTGGCTTGTAGTAATGTTGATATTCACTGTATTTAGTGCTCAACCCATCCCAGAAGGACTCTCACATCAAACATTTTTGGGGTAAGGCCACACATGCCAAGGCTCTCAAGGAAGCCAAATGAATGGTGGGTCTCCTGTTTCAAGATATTATATATGCTTACATCTACACTAGTTTAGTGAAGAGTATATTAAGTTGTATGGCGAGCATGGTGTTCTGTTATCACCAAAAAAGAAGTCTGGTAAGGTACATGGACTTCTTTGAGAGCTCTCTAGTGATGACGAGAGTGGTGATGATGAACTGGAAGAGTTGGAAGTGGATCCCCAACTGCTGTGGCTAAGAGAGTTCCACCTCTACCTTAACTCACCTACTCTAGTTCCCAATAATATGTCTATCATTCAGTGGTGGGGGGTAAGGTATCATTTTATGTCAACTGAATTGTTGCTGATCTAGCTTAATGTTATAGGTGAATGCTTGTCAGTACCCTGTATGGGCATCCCTTGCCTGTGATCATTTGTCTATCATGGCTACTTTGGTTTTGAGTGAGCGAGCTTTTTCTGCTGCAGCTCTGACTGTCACAAAGTGTTGTAACTGCTTGAAGGGTGATGTTGTGGAGGTGATTCAGGTGCTTCGCATGATGTACCAATGTGATTTGATCTTCTGAGAGGCTCCTACTTTGACTTTAGAGTTAGCATCAGAGGGACTGGATGATGGCAAGGAGGGGGACATTTCAGATGTATCAGATGTTGAGTCTTGAGTCTAATTGTCTGGTAGTGAAATATATGTTTTCACACATTTTTAACTTGTGAGCCCTGGCCCAGGCCCGAGCCAAGCCCAAGCCAGGCCCAAGCCCTCTGTTAAGGTCGTACTCAAAGGGTAACTGGATCTGAAGGGCTTTGGCCTCAGCTCGTGCGCTGTGCCCCTTACCTGAGTATTGCCCCTTATTTCAGGAAGGCAAGACTAGCGCATCTGGAAGGTCGGACAAGTAGCATAATGGATCCAGATGACTTCCAGATGAGGGATAAGTATTGTAAGGCTAATCTGGATGAGTCCAGACTAGAAACTAATGGTAGTGGACTGTCGGGGACAGAGGCAGATATGGATAGACTATAGGAATCAATCCTAAGTCTCAGAGGGTGACAAGAGTAGAGGTACTCAAGTCCGGAGGACAGGAATGAGTAGAACTAAGATGATATTTGAACTGAGGTACTACAGAAAGTTACAGGAGGTTATATACTATAGGTATCTAACAGAATGATCAATCAGCAGAGTCTGAGGCTATGTACAAAGCATGTGGATAGTCTATTGGTAAGTAGAAACAGATCACAAATCATGAAACAGAAATGAAGCATAGGTAGTGGATAAGGGAGCAGGATGGATATACAGATAACCAAAATACCGGAGTTAGGGGGTTACCAAAAAGAGACGAGCACTGGTTGTGGATTTGGATGAGTTGTGAACCGGACCAGACGAGTGGACAGATTGAATGACGAGATGTTGGAGGGGGATAAGATGTGGATCTGAGATGAGATAAGGGTCGGATCTGAGATCCAGACATGCAGATATGACACCCTCCTAAAGGGCCTGGCCTGAGTTTTTTCCAGGCCCAAGCCAGGGCTTTCAGGCCAAGCCAGGCCTGATGCATCACTACTTCTGAGATGGAAAATGAGTGCCATTGTGCAGAGAAATGGAACAACAAACCTTGGAATCCTAACAAGACCACACCCATGCACATCATCTTCTTCTGAGATGGTGAATGAGTGTTATTGTGTAGAGAAATGGAACAACGAACCTCGAAATCGTGATGAGACTGCCACACCCATGTGCATCATCTTCTTCTGAGATGGAAAATGAGTGCCATTGTGCAAATAAATGGAACAATAAACCTCAAAATCATGATGAGACTGCACCCATGTGCATTGTCTTCTTCTAGGATAGTGAATGAGTACCACTGCATGCCAATTTCCAAAGCAAAACAGACTTACCTAAGATGTGATCTTGAATGCATGATGGTCTGCAAATTTGTTTATATAGAATGCACAGAAGGCATCATAAGAGTCATAGTGCTTGAGGTCCTTTGGGATGGCATACATGCCATAGATTGGAATGAGGTGTGCAGCCTGGTAAATGGAATCAACATGTATGATTCCAACTAGTGGGGACTGATCAGTATCATATGAAGGTTTGACAATCCACATGCTGGTGTCCTTGTCAGGTCCATCATTGACCTTCTTGAACCAGTGCACTACAGCACATGGATATGAAACTGCCTTGAATGTAAAAGAGAAAAAGCCCATGATGTGGCCTATGTCCATTCCCCCCATCCCTTCAATAGCTGCATCTGTGTTCACAAACACACAATCATATTGCAGTGCCTCATTTCTCCAAAGGGGACAAGCACATATGTGCTCTCAGCACATGCCACCGATACCACTGCGGTTGCTAGGCGCTGTTAAGGTTGCATGCTCAAGGGGGGTTGGATCACAAGGGCTTGGCCTCAGCTCATATGCTGTGCCCCTTTCCCAAGTATGTGCCCTTAATTTCCAGGGGCTGAACAGTCATCTGGAGTTTCTGGGTTTTGACTAGGGCAGACAACAGACATCCGGGTATGAAACATGAGATAAATCTGGCAGATGTCCAAATGTTGATTGGACAAGGAGGTAAGGCTAATCTGGACGAAGTCTGGACTAGAAACTGATAGAGGATAGACTACCCTAAGGTAGAACCAGAGATGTAGTCTAGGATACAATCCTAAGACTTGGATGATCACAAGAGAACTAACTCAAGTCCAGAGGGCACAGGAATGAGCAGGAACTAAGATGATATTCCAACTGAAGTATTTCTGAGAGTTACAGGAGGTTTATATACTGTAGGTATCATATAGAAATCATTCAGCAAACACAGAGGCTATGTATGAAGCATATGCAAAGTCTATTAGTAAGTAGGACAGATCACCAATAATGAATACTGGAAAAGAAATGTATGTAACGGATCAGTAATCAGAATGGAAACATAGTTAACCAGAGTCCAGAGACAGGGGAAGTCTAAATGGGGTTGGGCACTGATATAAGGTTTGGATTCCAGAAGGGAGATAAAGATAGATCAGATCATTGGAGATCCAGATCTCAGATCTGGATATCCAGAGAAGTGGATTTAGAGTTGAGAGTCCAGAATGGCATATGACAGGCGCATAGAATATCGAAGCTGCAGAATTGAACACTTGAATTTTCCCATTAAATTGAGGGCAGTGTGTGAGCAGGACATCAGATGGAGAACATTCGTTGTCCAGATGTAATTGTTTGAATAAGAATTGGTGGAGGAGGTTGTTGAGATAGGGGATAGAAAGCTCTGCACTTAAATCAGGTACAGTTCATGCATGTTTGCATTCTGTGCAATATTGAAAATTAGTATGAGGTATTATTGTCAAACATAAACTGGCTTACAGTGTGTCTTTGCTAATTGAATGTGGGCCTGGACTAATGTTGGTCCATCAACAATTTCGCCTTCTTTGTTGTCACCCTGGATAGTGATGTTGCAGTCAGGTGATAGCGTGATGGTGTTCTCATTGGGCTCATTGGCTTCAGGCTCATTATTTAAGTGTAAATGCACTAGTATACAGTAGATGCTGAGCAAGCAATACAAACAATGATGCCATACAAACTCACATAGCACTTGAAGAGCTTCAGATAGACAGGTGCCATTCAGCATCCCACAGCTTTTGAAATTGATGTGTGATGCTGCCAGTTTGTCAAGGTGCTGATTTGTTACCAGCATTTGACCAAGGGCATGATAGGGACTTGAGCACCTCCATGGTTCCTTGACAGCTTTGATGTGCTTCATCTCGGTAATCAAGGAACATAGGCCATTGGGTGCACCAAATAGTCAGATAGGGAGGGCATAATGGGAGCAGGAATGTTGGCAGGGGAGAGAGAATGTGAATATGACACCTGTTGACTTGAAAATCTTCCTGTAACAATGGAATTGGTCAAGAGTGTCCTGGATACGAACAAGTGTCAATTCCATGATGATGTTACACCATACGAGATAGCAAAATTCGAGGAACACACAAAATGTGCACACCATGTCTGTTGGGACATAACCTTCAATGGTGGGGAGATAAACCTAAACTGCTGTTAGTCTGAAGGTCACTTGATGCCAATGTTAAACTTACCTTCATAAGCACTTTTGAATTGTCGCTGGTCCATTGTTTGAACCCTCGGCCTTGAGGAAAATGTCAAAGACCTGAGAATGAGGCAATGGCAGCAATTCTTTCATGACATCAGCTTTGAAATGTTGAATTGAGACAAAAGGATGCACCTTCAACCTATATCATCTTGAATTTTCTCTGCTCTTTTCTTGCCATGCATGTGGTGCAGATATTGTCCCACCCACTCGACTAAATGGTCCTTGAACATACCTTTAATCAATTGATGTAGGATGTCCAGTGCAATAAGCTCATGAATATCGTCTCAGGGGAAAAGGGCTAGAAAAAGTTAACTCTCGACTGTAGTTTTACAAGACAGGTGACTTACAACAAGGTCAGTGATGATCCCAAACTCATCCCACAAATCACTAGAAATTACTTCTTCAATAAGTGCTTCTGTATGGTCATGATTGCAATACAACAACTTGGAGTCCAAGTCTTTGCAGTGTGACATGCACCTGTATGTAAAAATGTCAAGTCAGAGCATATATTGAAAATAAATTAAGGAATATACCTTGGACACCAAGAGCACACTATACATGCCAATAAGACCTGCTCCTCATAGTCTGCGATATACAGTCCAAGCCCATAGATAACACACTGATAGTGCCTGTCTGTTAAGAACCATGCTCAAAGGAGAGAGAGATTGACTCAGAGGGGCTTGGCCTCAGCTGGTACACTGTGCCCCTTACCCGAGTATGTGCCCTTCATTTCAGAGGAAGTCCAATGATGGTCTGATGAAGTCCAGAGGACTTCCGGAGGCTGGCTACTCTGGTGGAGAGTGTGGGAGGACTTCCGGAGGAGCGCAGGAAATGTCCGGAGGAGCGCGGGAGAGTTCCGGAGGGATGCAGGAAATGCTCAGGAGAGTTCCCACTGCAAGGTAATACTTCTACAGGAAAACAGGATGGAAGGATAGGAGGTCTGGAGGACAGGAGGACAGGATGTCTGGAGGTCCGGAGTATGGAGGACAGGAGGTCTGGAGGTATGGAGGACAGAACGTCCGAAGGTACAGATACCCGGAGGTATGAGGGACAGGACATCCAGAGGTACAGAGGACAGGAGGTCTGGAGGTCCGGAAGGAATAGGGGCTACATCGGACTTGATCCAATGTAGAAGCAAACAGAGGTAGACTACCCTAAGGTAGAGTCAGAGGGACAGGAAGTGGACCTAAGTCCAGAAAGAGGGTAAGTGCCAGAAAGGCAAGACTCTAGCCTAGGGAAGCAATCCCTAGACTTGGGACAGAGACATAGGGGACAAATCCGAAGGTCCAGAATTCCGGCCTAGGGAATCCTTCCCTAGGCCTTATGGAAAAGGACAAGACTCAGATGGACTGAAGTCCAGAAGATGATTGGCAAGTAGAACAGGATCTAAGATGATATTCAGACTGAGGACTCTACTGTAGTTGTACAGGGGTTATATACTAGAGGCTATCTGAGAGGATCAGTAAGCAAAGGAGTAAGGCTATGTACGAGCATGCAGAAACACATTGGTAAGTAAGACGGAACATAAGTAAATGAACTTGGAGATGAAACTAGTACAAGGATCAATCAGCAAGACAGAAAGAGAGATAACCAAGAACCGGAAAGGCGGAGATGCCTAAATGGGGATAGGTGCAGGATCTCAGATGGAGGGTGGAAATAGGTCCGGAGATAATAACAGTTAATATCCGGAGGTCCGGAGATCTGGGGATCTGGAAGGCAGGGCAGAAACAGGACTGAGATATGTGAGGTGGTGGATGTAGTCCGGAATCTGAGAGGAGGTAAAGTCTGGATGTCTTGCTGGACAGAATGTGTGTAGGGTGGACAGGATAGGGGATCCAGGAATGAGTTGGATATGGGGTCCGGAAATAGGTCCGGAAAGCGTGGGAATATGATGGGATCTATGTCTGGCATACGGGATATGACACTGTCACCAAAACACACAACTTCTGGTTTTGTCATACCTGGCCTGAGGTTCTCAAGAATCTTCAATATTGATGAGTGAAACATTTGCCAGCAATACTTCTGATATTTTGGGCAGGTCACATGCTCCTTGGTAGCTACTCAACTGTAGTTAGCACAGAACAACAATAGTATGAGTATGAGTCTTACTCTTCAGCATAGCTAGGAAACCAATAATGGCAACAGCATCATGATGTGTGTGTCGAACGTTATTATGAATGTTCCCAATTGATGCATACAGCAGATAGTAGTCATTGGCACCAGTTGCAACTGAAATGGTCATTTTGTCGCTTCCAAGAATGACTGGCACAAACATTGAGCCAGCTGTATCTGAGTCTTGAGAAATGATATCCTACCAAACACTGTCAGTGCATTAGCAACACGATAAGGTGAGATAACACACAGCTTGATTCCAAGCCCAGTCACCAGACATGAAATCTTGCCATTGATGTTTGTTGTTGTCGGTTGAGAACTCATGGTAGGGCTGATAGTCCATTTCTGTTGTGTAATCTGGGTTTGCCAACAAGTTGCAAATGACCTTGTGGGGGTCTCAATACCAGACATCATGTGATTCAGTCATCCAGGGTGGTACATCGTGTGCTGGCTTCTCCCCCATGTACTGGACCTTGAAAGATTGCCATTTGACATCACCTACTGGCATGCTATCAATGGTTCATATAAATTGTGGCAGTCTGCAAATGGTGGTTTGTCATTGTGTTTCAAAAGGGTTGTGGCCCAAAGATCTAGCAAGATATTGATATTCCCTGCTGACATTTGGTTATGCATGTACAAAAATTCTGCAGTCTCAAACTTGATGTGATTTCAGTAGGGAGTTGTCATATGCCATTCCATACTCTCAACTCTAAATCCACTTCTCTGGATATCCAGATCTGAGATCCAGATCTCAAATGATCTGATCTATCTTTATCTCCCTTCCAGAATCCAAACCCTATATCAGCGCCCAACTCCATTTAGACTTCCCCTGTCTCCAGACTCCGGTTAACCATGTTTCCCTTTTTATTATTGATCCATTACATACATTTCATTTCTGGTGTTCATTATTTGTGATCCATCCTACTTACTAATAGACTTTGCATATGCTTCGTACATAGCCTTTATGTTTGCTGACTGATTCCTATATGATACCTACAGTATATAAACCTCCTGTAACTCTTGGAAATACTCCAGTTCAAATATCATCTTAGTTCCTGCTCATTCCTGTGTCCTCCAGACTCGAGATAAGTCTCTTGTCATATTCCAAGTCTTAGGATTGCATCCTAGGCTACATTTCCAACTCTACCTTAAAGGTAGTCTATCCTCTGTTAGTTTCTAGTCTGGACTTTGTCCAGATTAGTCTTATCCGCTTGCCCAGGTAACATCCAGACGTCCGTCAGATTTATCTCATGTTTCAGATCTGGACATCCTTTGTCCACCCTAGTCAAATCCCGGAAACTCCAGACAACTGTTCTAGCCCCCAGAAATTAAGGGCACATACTCGGGAAAGGGGCACAGCATATGAGCTGAGGCCAAGCCCTTGTGATCTGATCCCCTTGAGCATGCGACCTTAACAGGCAGGGTGCACAAAGCACTGGAACACTTCCCATCCAACCTTCATGTTAGCTCCCACTGCTAGTCTCTCATACTTGGCTGCCATTGAAGATGAGCCAGGGGAACCAGCTCCCACTGCTAGAGTCTCATACTCAGCTACTGTTGAAGATGAGCCAGATGAACCACACGAAGGTGATAAGACTGATGGCATGGCACATGTATCTGATGGGAAAGACTCAGTGCTGTAAGGCTTCTTCTCTTACCCATCACTGATGTTACTTCTCACTGAATCAACATTATATTTCCTCAATCTTGCCTCTAGTTTCAATACAACCAGTCAGAAATTTGCATTGGGTGGTCGGGTCACCAACTGGGTGTCTGGTGTTGAGCTGGCAAAGGGAAAATCAGAACATCCAAAACTGGCATCGGCATCTGCATCAAGTGTTACTTGAGCACCTCCAACTTCGATTTTCTCACAAGGCACTGCTTCTACCATAGCAACTTCTGATGCACAGGTCCTGACTCAGAAGCCTGCAGTTCCTGCCAAAATTCTAGATGCAGATGATGCCCTCATAGGCAGCTTCACAGATGACATTGATGATACCCTGGAGTGTGAGGCTGCTATTGTGCAAGGCAAGGAAAAATTGAAGGTAATTGAGTGCTATTTGATCATTAGTATTCACTCATTGTTTGTTCTGCAGGTAGCCTCAATATTTGAAGATGACTTGGACTTTGAGGCAAAGGCAACTTCTGTGCAAGTACCATCAAGAGTGTGTGACTTGGCTGATGATTCAGTGGCCTCATTCACTGAGCAGGAACAGTTCTTGCTGGAGCCCAAACCTCCATTCACACAGGTTGACACTCACTGGACCCTCAAGTGCAAAACTGCGGTTGATGACACTTTAGATGATGATGAGGTGTCTGAGTGGTCCATGGATGTTGATGGCCCCACTTTTGAGGACCTGGTCATGATTTCTGATGAAGATTCACAGCCTGAACCTGTGGTGCTAAAGAAGAAGAAGATTCAGTGCACAACATCATCAGTAAGTGTTAAATTTTCAATTGCACTCATTCTGACACTCTCATAGACATCTGTATCCGTTGCTTCTGTTGCTGACAGCAAACCACCTGCTCTCAAGAAGGCCAAGATCAAATCATCCACTAAATGTGCCCACAACACTCCTGCTATCAAACACCCACTGAATGTAGACACTGTGCCAGATTGCATGAAGTCTTGTAGCACCTATCATAATGTCAACTTACCTGCTATGATGCAGGCAGACCAGCACTGGACAAAGAAGTATCTACCTACCATCATGTTGTGGGCTAGGAGTTATGAGGATATCTGGACTATCCCAGATGATGTCCTTCTCCTTCATGCCCAGCTCATTTTTAATGCAGTATACAAGGAACTTAACATCATTATCATTCATGGCGGTGTGATACACTCCCTGGTAAGTCTTTTTTTTGTTGAGCTTGACTGACTGTATTTGTAATTAGACAGCACAGCGTATATCTGAATGGCACAGCAATTTCAGCTCTACAGGCATAGTTATCATCCTGGACTTTTTGACACAAAATTCCGACTGCAATCCCACTGAACTTGCCAAGTCTTTAGTCACAAACTATGCATTCTTGTTTGAAAATCCTGACAAGCCAAATCCCCTCACAGTGAGCTGCTCTCCTTTTGTTTTACAGCTGTTGGGTACTGCACATCTCAATGCTATCAATGGGTATGTGGAGGTTCCCAAACTCAATACACATGGACTCACAATGTGTGGGATGTCAGGTGTTATTTCCCTTTCTGCTGCAGCAGTAGGTTTGATCTTTGGACAGTCTTATTCATGCTGATTATTTCAGATTGAGCGCACCCTCAATATGTTCGCCCAGAAGCATTTGAATGTCAAGGAGGTCTTAGTGGCTGGCTCAGGTAAACTCACTATTAAGCTACCAAAGGTCATCAACAAAATGACTGGGAAGATGACCAACACTCCATTCCTATTTTTAGGGGCTCACTGGACTAAAGCAATGAAGTCGTTCACCAAGTCTCTCTCAAAAAAGCCTGTGGGATACATAGAGACAATGATACAGATGGTGCATGCCTGTACTGCATTGAATGATGTGACAGATACACCCCAGGGCTCATTTGATGAGGAGGACTCTGATGATGATGAGCATGCTATGCTTTGTAATTCTTATCATTCATGTTTCATCTCACTGACATCCACAACCTCAGGATTTGTCTATTTGTTGCATCTGCACAATTTCCACTATCCTACATCTGACAAACTCTGGCTGTCACTACAGGCTGTCATCTTCAAGTTGTTTTGCCATCATTTTTAATCTGCTGCCATTCCATTTGCTCCTGAATGCCCTCTGTTTTCCTATGCTGTCATCTCACTTTTCATATTAACAAGTTTGCTTAATTTTCCACTTATCCTGTAGTATGCCCCATTTTATGAAAGACTTGTGCCACTTTATCTACTTTCTCAAGCAAAGTAAGTGTTGAAAAAGCAAGAATTCAGAGATGGAGTGGGCTTAAATAAGTGGCTCACACTTTTTTGCTCAATGACTTAATACTTCTTTTTGAGTAATTAAGTGACAAATTAAGTATGAAAAGGAACCAGTGGTTTTCCTGATGTATATGTGCAAATTCAACAGCATAAATGTGCAGTTGATGAGGGGAGCTGAAGTATTCCCTGACTCATGGGAGGGTTTTCAATATTCAGGCACCTTTTGCACAATGGGAACTTGTCATATGCCATTCCAGACCCTCAACTCTAAATCCACTTCTCCAGATATTCAGAACTCCAATGATCTGACCTATCTTTATCTCCCTTCCGGAATCCAAACCTTATATCAGTGCCCAACCCCATTTAGACTTCCCCTGTCTCTGGACTCTGGTTAACTATGTTTCCCTTCTGATTACTGATCCATTACATACATTTCATTTCCGGTATTCATTATTGGTGATCTGTCCTACTTACTAATAGACTTTGCATATGCTTCATACATAGCCTTTGTGTTTGCTGACTGATTTCTATATAATACCTACAGTATATAAACCTCCTGTAACTCTTGGAAATACTTCAGTTGGAATATCATCTTAGTTCCTGCTCATTCTTGTGTCCTCTGGACTTGAGTTAGTTCTCTTGTCATCATCCAAGTCTTAGGATTGCATCCTAGACTATATTATATCTCTAGCTCTACCTTAGGGTAGTCTATCCTCTATCAGTTTCTAGTCCAGAATTCATCTGGATTAGCCTTACCTCCTTGTCCAATCAACATTTGGATGTCCACCAGATTTATCTCATGTTTCATACCCAGATGTCTGTTGTCTGCCCTAGTCAAAACCCAGAAACTCCAGATGACTGTTCAGCCCCTGGAAATTAAGGGCACATACTTGGGAAAGGGGCACAACATATGAGCTGAGGCGAAGCCCTTGTGATCCAACCCCCTTGAGCACATGACCTTAACAGAACTTCTGTAAGGTTGCTGATGAGTACAAAGGGGAAATGGATTGAAATGAATGGTTTAGACTTCAAGGCTTTCTGATGTGCTTGGAGAGGGGAATCACTCTATAGATTCTGCTAATGACTTGAGAGTCACAGTACAGGCACTGTATATATATACATCTGCAAACCACAAAGCTCTGTACAGTGCGCAAGCTCTACAGCTTGGTCCCTACTAGCCAGTTCATCACAGTAGCTCCTTACTCTGGATATCTGTACAGACACTCACAGAGCACTCAGAGTGAGAATTGTGCACACATTCACTTTGTACAGTTCACCCAAAGTGTTCAGGTACAATGGTAATATATTGAATCACATGGTATGGGAACATCAGTATACTAGTAGCAAAATGATAGACTCAGAGCAAAATGAATATGTGACTCAACAGAAAAAACAGCTCTGCAACTCAGACACAGGAATGCAAAGACTCAGTTGAGGACAATCTGTAGGTGATTATGTCTGGTCTCCTTGGTGCCATTGAGCTTCAGACTTGTGGCCCTGGGTAAAAATAATCAGTGTCAGAAATTTCAAAGAAAAAAAATGTTCTTGCCATCCTGCTTCAGCCCATTCCTGAAGTTGTGCTACCAACTGGGGACCGTGATATGGATGTTGAAGAATTTTGTTGATCATTCTGAGCATCTGGCAGTATATTGGGCCATATTCCTTGGTGGAGAACTTGGGATAAGATTTGCTGTGACCATTTTTAGCAAGGCCATCAAGGACACAATTGTACTACAAAAATGTCAGTACATAATATCAGTGTTGAGAACCATGCTCAAAGGAGAGAGAGACTGACTCAGAGGGGCTTGGCCTCAGCTCATATGCTGTGCCCCTTACCTGAGTATGTGCCCTTCATTTCATATGAGGTCCAATGATGGTCCAATGAAGTCTGGAGGACTTCTGGAGGCTGGCTACTCTGGTGGAGAGTGCTAGAGGATTTCCAGAGGAGCATGGGAGAGTTCCGGAGGAATGCAGGAAGTACTCAGGAGAGTTCCCACTGTAAGGTAATACTTCTACAGGAAACAGGATGGAAGGATAGGAAGTCCGAAGGTCCAGAGGACAGGAGGACAGGAGGACAGGAGGACAGGAGGACAGGAGGACAGGAGGACAGGAGGACAGGAGGATGGAGGACAGAAGGACAGGAGGATAGGATGTCCAAGGGTCAGGAGGATGGAATGTCTGAAGGACAGGATGCCTGGAGGTATGAGGGACAGGAGGTCCAGAGGTCTGGAAGGAATAGGGGCTACATCGGACTTCATCCAATGTAGAAACAAACAGAGGTAGACTACCCTAAGGTAGAGTTGGAGGGACAGGGATTGGACCTAAGTCTGGAAAGAGGGTAAGTGCCAGAAAGGCAGAGCTCCAGCCTAGGGAATCAATCCCTAGGCCTGATGAGTAGGACAGACTTAGGTGGACCAAAGTCCAAGAGAGGATTGGGCAAGTCTAAGTTGATGGAACAGGATCTAAGATGATATTCAAACTAAGGAAACTACAGGAGTATCTACAGGGGTTATATACTGGAGAATATCTGAGGGGATCAATAAGCAAAGGAGCAGGGCTATGTATGAGCATGTGGAAACACATTAGTAAGTAAGATAGAACATAAGTAAATGAACTCAGAGATGAAGACTCGTACAAGGATCAATCAGCAAGACGGAACAGGAGGTAACTGAAAGCCAGAAAGGCAGAGATGCCTAAATGGGGATAGGCACAGGATATCGGACAGAGGGTGGGAATAGATCCGGAGTTAATATCTGGAGGTCCGGAGATCTGGGGATCCGGAAGATGGGGTGGATATAGGACTGGAATATGATGAGGTGGATATAGTCCAGAATCTGAGACAAGGTGAAGTCCAGATGTCTTGCTGGATGGAGTGCACATAGGGTGGATGGGATAGGGTGGTACAGATCAGGCCAGCAGTGAGGATCCGGAGGTCCAGAGCTCAGGGGTAAATCCGGAGCGTAGTCGATCTTGCTGAGGTGTGGAGTACACAGTGGAAGGGGATCTGGGAATGAGTCAGATATGGGGTGGGGTCTGGATGTAGGCTCGGAAGGCGTGGGAATATGATGGAATGTGGGTCCGGATTGTGGGATATGACAGTCAGGCAGAAGGGAAGAAAGTACTGTGGTGGAAATCAGAGCCAATCATGAGATGGGCAATTGTTTGCAAAATATATCTGGTCTCTTCCATGCAATTTGATATGGCCCCATGTAAAAGAATGTAGCATCATGAAGAGCAATATGAGTGAAGTTCCTTGTTTTACCCTGGTGATATTATTAAATGTATGTTGTTATGGTCAGCACACAATCACTTACCAATGCATCTAATCCAAACCATAAGAACTCAGATCCAGCAAGTAACTGCAAAGCAGCACCTTCAATCCATGTTGCACATTCTTGAGCAGGGACTGATGCAGGGGGGACAAGCAAGTATGCAATAGGCGCCAAGCTTATAGCAGTTTTCTTCAGTTCTGATTGCCACGTTGAAAGATCATTGTATAACTTCAAATCAATTGTATCAGTGAGACATTATGAATTAAGAGAGTGAAACACAACACACCAACTGAGCCATACTACACTTCTGCTCTGGCCAAATTCCTGGATTACAATATAAAACAAATTAACTCATGAAGAAATGAACACTTACCAGCTTCAAATTGCTTTCCTTCCCTGTCCCAAGCAACTAAAGTTGCAATGAGAACTTCAGTTATAGACCCTGCAAGATCATCAACAAAAGTCAGGAATGGGTCCTCAAGTGTGTGTTTCACATGACATTCTCCTTTGGTATGCTTGAGGAAGCTTTTCCAATGTGGCCCGTACCAAGCTAATGAAGTAGGCTTGGGCCCATCATCCACCTGTTTTGTCTGTCTGTTTCTCCTTGGAGCTTGGCACCCTCAGCTACTTGATGAAGCAGCTCGAGAGTTTCAGGGTCAGGAAGTTGAGGCTGGCCATTTTGCTTGTGGTGGCACTCCAATACATCACTAGGCTTTGAGGGATAATAGTGAGCCTCATTCAGAATAGAAACCATTTCCTCACCTCACAATGCTGTACCTGTTGTTGGTGCTGCGCACCTGCTGAGGGATCCAGAAAGCCCTTGAAAGCAAAGAATAAGTGCAATGCTGGTAAATTTATGACAGCATACTTGGGAGTCACTGTTCCATTGTATGGATGAGGAGGACTCAGAGTTGATTGCAGAGCCTTTATCGAGACTCGTCTGAGCAGTCACATCATCTTCATCATGAGAGTACTGAAAATCAAATTCTGGTGTGAGATGACAAGTTACCTGAGGTTGTGAAGGTAATGATTCTTTTGAAAAGCCTGTAAAATGACCAATGAAATACCAGGTGTAATGTAGCACAATGAAGGAAAATACCTGGATGATTATTGCGATGTTGGTGTTGGCTCTCATTGGTATCCTTGTCCTTGTCCTCATCCTCTTCCCTCTCCACATCCTTTTCCTCATCCTCATCATCATCCTCGTCCTCTTCCTTGTCCTCTTCCTCATCCTCATCCTCATCCTTGTCATCATCATTGTCCTTGTCCTCAATGTTGCTGTTCAATAACTTGGATGCTCATAGTACAGATTGAGACCTAACACTGTCATCCTCCTCGAACAGGGCTGGATCCAGGTGTTGCCTCATAAAGGTGGTGTGCGGTGGTGGTACAACATTGGATGAGGTTTGATCACTGGCCATTTTTGCAGTGCACTTTTTGGCAACCTTCATGCCAACAGCAACATAAGGATTATTAGTCTCTTCAAGACTGTGTTCAGTACTAGGGGGCAATGAAACCAAACCTTCCACCAGGTGGCTGCATTGAGAAAATGGGATTCATGTTGTTGATACTCAAGGCAGGACCATTGGTAATCGCAAGTGAACTATAAGGTGGAGGGACAACCTGAATGCAGACATCAACATCAGCAAAAACAGGTAGTGATGCACCTAACCTTAGAATGACCCTTCTGGCCCTTACAAACTGGTCCCAGAGCCTGAGGGTTCACTGGGATATTGGAAGTGAGAGATGTGGAGTCCTTGGGAGGATGGCCTCAAGACTGAGACTCAAGGACTGCGCCAATTTTTTGCATCTGATGGTTCCTACCTCCAGTCCCTGCATTTGGACAGCCAGAACGTTGTGGAGCACTGTCCTCAGCTACTGCTTCAGACAGACCAAGAGAAACAAGTGGCATGCCAGGTGCTTTGGTGAGCTCTGCAGCTTTGCGAGACTTCTTCAGCAAACCTGCCCTGCCAGAAGCATCTGAGCCTTTGTGCTTTGACTTCTTCTTCTTGGGGCTAGCAATAGCATGAGGAGGCATGACTGTGAGTGCACAAGGGATAGAGAAGGTGGTGCAGTCTCAGTCTAACATTCATTGACTTGCAGATGCACCAGCCTTTATAGTACTGTACCAGTGTGTCATATCTCAGAGTAGTTTATCATGTCTTGGCGCTGGATGGGCTAGTAGATGCAAATAATGAGCAATATTACTTCAAAAAACCTCTACACACCCATGTAATAGTCAATGCTGCATGTTAGGAATCTTATGAAGAGTGACTCAACTTAACTGAGCCTGAGAATAGTACTATGCATTCAGCGGATAAAAACGGATACAAGTCATATTAATACAAGTCACAACAACCTAAAATGTACAATTGATATGATACTAGTAATGAGATAGTGTGATGGTTACGTTGAATATCATATATACATGCTAACAGTCTGACTCATCATGAGAATCAGCATCAGACTTCCGATGCTTCAACTCAGGTAATCCTACAGGGAGAGATTGTGAAGCAATGTGTTTCTTGACATGGTCTGTGAGAATAGCTGCAGATTCCCTCAGTGTCTTGACAGTGGATATGAGCTCTTTGTCATCCGGGAGACAGTCAAGGTGAGAGTTTAATAATAAAAGAATGTTGTTGAAGGAAACAGGGTTCTCCATGTTGTCCTTCAATACTGAACACCACTCTTTGGCAAGAGGGATCAAGTCTTTGAAGTAGGGGTGAATTTCATCTATGAGATGGTGTTCCTCCTTTGCAGTTGCAAAAAAGTTACCCTTGAAGGCAGTGCAGGATTTGAGGTCCATGTTGTTCCAGCAATCAGGTATTGAGTTTCTTAATTGATCCTGGTGCACCTGGCCATTGGGACCACAGAATTTGATGCAGATCCAGATGAATATGAAGAAAAGAGACTCAAGGTCATCTGAAAAACTTTGAATGACATGTGATACTGATAATGCCAAAGAGTTCAAGAAAGCTTTTGGTATATATTTTGTTTTTTTCCACTCAGTGCTGCCTGCTGTGCATCTGAGAGCTGAGTGAGAAGCCCATGAGACATGAAAGGGATTGTACCCTGCAGATTGATTGAGCTGATCAGTACTGGACATGTTGTAATTGAGGGAATGTACTTACCATACCACCGATGGCATATTTCAGATCTAGGTTGATGTGCACCATGAACTCCCAGTCGATTAGAAACCCCCTACTACCACCTCCTAACTCATCTGTGATCATTGCATTATTTAAACTGCAGTTGCAATGTAGAACCTTGTGTTCTTCCACCGCCATGCATTGAACTAAAATTAGTTTTGTCAGTCCAGAATTGCAGATGATAATTAAATGTCTTACTGATGACGATGTCCCTGAGCACTTTCACTAACTCTTTAAGAGTTCAAAACATATGAAGGGGGTGTGTGCACAGCTTCAAGACAAGCCAAACATGTGAGTGACTGGTGCCTGTAATACTTAGGCATTGGGGTTGTTTTCGATATCGACTGGTCACATCAGCTTCTCCATTCGACCTTTCAACTATCCACCAATCCACCAGTTCAGGAACTCCAGGGATGCCAGACATGTGCTTTAACATATTGATCTCATTCAGGACCACTTGGTCCTCCCTACCCTGAACCCAGTGGTCCTTGATGATAAATTCTTCATCATCCAAACAGACCAAATAACAAACAGTTCCACGACTAACAAGACCATGACCTGCAAACAGGATCCTTTTAATTGTGTAGATCGTGTCTCTGACAAGGATCTTGCCACACGGTTCAGGTGATCTGGTTGAGTATGGGAATTGGGAAGGATGGGGTGTAGCCAAGTAGATATTCTCAGGTCCCCATGGTGCTTGGGATGTGAGGTTGACAAGGGGAGCACTGGATATTGTAGTGGCTTGCATTAGAGGGGGTGGAGAAGCCTCCATAGATATGTGAGAGCCAGCATGTGACCCTGACTGTTAAGGTCGTGTGCTCAAGGGGGTTGGATCACAAGGGCTTGGCCTCAGCTCATATGCTGTGCCCCTTTCCCAAGTATGTGCCCTTAATTTCCGGGGGCTAGAACAGTTGTCCAGAGTTTCCGGGATTTGACTAGGGCAGATAACGGATGTCCGGATCTAAAATGTGAGATAAATCTGATGGACGTCTGGATATTACTTGGGCAAGTGGATAAGACTAATCCGGACGAAGTCTGGACTAGAAACTAACAGAGGATGGACTACCCTTGGGGTGGGGTTGGGGGTGTAGTCTAGGATGCAATCCTAAGACTCAGAATATGACATGAGACTTATCTCAAGTCCAGAGGACACAGGAATGAGCAGGAACTAAGATGATATTTGAACTGGAGTATTTCTGAGAGTTACAGGAGGTTTATATACTGTAGGTATCATATAGGAATCAGTCAGCAAACATAAAGGCTATGTACGAAGCATATGCAAAGTCTATTAGTAAGTAGGATGGATCACAAATAATGAACACCGGAAATGAAATGTATGTAATGGATCAATAATCAAAAGGGAAACATGGTTAACCGGAGTCCGGAGACAGGGGCAGTCTAAATGGAGTTGGGCACTGATGTAGGGTTTGGATTCCGGAAGGGAGATAAAGATAGATCAGATCATTTGAGATCCGGATCTTGGATCCAGATATCTGGAGAAGTGGATTTAGAGTTGAGAGTCCGGAATGGCACATGACACTGACTTGAGTTCCAAGCTGGGGGACATCAACTCCATGGCAGCACCAGGCAATGCACCCTTGAAATTAGTGTGTGGTGGATTAATGGACTCAGATGTGGCTGCAGTCATTGCATAATTTGTGAGTTGCTGTTCAGCGGGGAGGTTCTTGATTAGGCAGTAACTGTTGGTATGACATTGGGGCAGGGAAATGTATTTTGTGAAGGAGATAGTGGAATCATAGCCAATGCATTCAAGACTACTGAAATGGAGAACAGCGATGATATGGGCAACCATGCTTGGTTGTTGGTAAATATTAAATGCTGGGGACATGACACTGCCAGCATGATCGTACAGAAGGACTCTAAGCTCCCAATACTTGTTGGTAAGTGATAGAACAAGTGCAAAGCGCCTCCAGGGCTGCTCACTCAGCACAAGGTATGCATGAGTATTGGCAGCCTTTACAAGTCACAACCCAGGCTGATATGTGCTATGCATCAGCTCAGCCGATACTCTGATATTACCCCAATTTGAAGTAATCTCATCTGATAGGAGGAGATCAGGTTTCTGCTTCACCTCGCTACCAAGTAATGGCTTGTGCGCATTGGCTGCAGTCCACATGTGTGTTGTAGAGGAGGTGGTGAGTTTGCATTCTGCCTTTGCCAAGCAGACAGCCAAAGCATTGAAAAACAACAAAAAATTTCTTCATGGGTGGGTTTTTTGACTCTGCTGGTCTGCAGCGTATTGTCCTCTGAGTTTGGTTCAGGTTGTTGGGGGTCAGTTGACTCGGATTCTTTGGTGGCAGGAGCATGTATTGGAAGGTCCCAGTTCCACAGCTGCACATTGGTATTGTACAGTGGCACCAGATCATCTGGTGAATTTTTGCTGAATTTGGCCTGAGTACATTCACTGTGATGGAGGATTTGTTTGAGTGGAATTTGGAGTGTGGATAGAGCCAGGAGAGGGATTGTGAAAGACTGAAAGATAGTGGAAAGCATGTGTGCCAGCAGTTGTGATGCATCCAAGCCTTCCTGCATGACTAAATGATTGAGTTCCTCAGCTGTGAATTCATTCATTGTAAGGACATCAGTGACAGCAGGGAGAGAGACCAATGATGACAGTTTTATTCCACAGCCACCTGTCTGGAAAAAGAACTGTGGTGGCATTCGCTCAGTATATTCTAGGGTATAGTATGATAATGGTGGGAGCAACAAGATGGCCTTACCATGCATCACAATGGTCATCAATGTTCATCGAACTAAGAATATAACATATGAGGAAACCAATGATATTCAAGATAAAAATGTCTTTGAGAAGCTACATAGAGAGAGGAAAAAACATGTTCTTGTCCCAAAATTTATTTAGCCAAAATTCCAATGTGTGTTCCATGCTGTTCTTTGAGGTAAGACAGTTGTCCACACTAACCCCAAACTGAGGAACAAGATTAACAGGGGCCTTGATCTGTGTCAGTGGTATAATATCACCCACCAAAGTGCCATTGGAATGTGTCATATGCCATTCTGGACTCTCAACTCTAAATCCACTTCTCCAGATATCTGGATTCAAGATCCGGATCTCAAATGATCTGATCTATCTTTATCTCCCTTCTGGAATCCAAACCCTATATCAGTGCCCAACTCCATTTAGACTGCCCCTGTCTCCGGACTCCGGTTAACCATGTTTCCCTTTTGATTATTGATCCATTACATACATTTCATTTCCGGTGTTCATTATTTGTGATCCATCCTACTTACTAATAGACTCTGCATATGCTTTGTACATAGCCTTTATATTTGCTGACTGATTCCTATATGATACCTACAGTATATAAACCTCCTGTAACTCTCAGAAATACTCCAGTTCAAATATCATCTTAGTTCCTGCTCATTCCTGTGTCCTCTGGACTTGAGATAAGTCTCATGTCATATTCCGAGTCTTAGGATTGCATCCTAGACTACATTTCCGACTCTACCTTAAGGTAGTCCATCCTCTGTTAGTTTCTAGTCCAGACTTCATCCAGATTAGTCTTATCTGCTTGCCCAGGTAACATCTGGATGTCCATTGTCTGCCCTAGTCAAATCCTGGAAACTCCAGACGACTGCTCTAGCCCCCAGAAATCAAGGGCACATACTCAGGAAAGGGGCACAGCGTACGAGCTGAGGCCAAGCCCTTGTGATCCAACCCCCTTGAGCACACAACCTTAACAGAATGCTTTGCCCTTCTGATCAAGTGCATCTGCATAGCAGGATCACAAGCACCTGTAGTACCATCAAAGTGGTACATATAGACAAGGAAATGGTCCTTCCATGACCAATCTGTATTGCTCTTTCCAACTGGACGCATGATAAGTCTAATTTGACTGACTGTGTGACCTGAAAATAACAGTGAGAAAGTATTTAGAATGGCAGAAGGTCATAACGCACCATGAAGGCCATCAGTAGGCCAAAGGTACCCCAACTCATTATTCACAATAACTGAGTCATACCTACCAGAGTTCCAGACATCAGAAGGTGGCACACAATTCAGGGTCTGTGCAGGCTGTATGATGCTACTATCATGGAAATCTGTCTCCTGCAGTTGAAGTTTGAACCAGATTTGAATTTTATCAAATGGCAGTGAAGCAGCAGGTCCAGCCCTCCTGGCTCCCCTGATTGCATGGATATAATCTTGTCCCTGGGTAGCTTCATGATGAAGAAAGTCAACAATGGCTGGCTGTAAGTCAGAAAGGCCAAACTTGATAGCAGCATCATCAACAGAGATGGATCTGATGGATGGGGAATATGTAAGATGAAAGGCCATGCATCCAACGATGAATGTATGCAATGGTACAGGGACTGTCCCTACCTCCTTATGCTGGAGGATCTTCACGATCGCAAAGTAATTGGTGATTGGGCATGAATATCCAGGACATTTGATAATGGCCACAAGTTCAGTGGGGAAGTCATGATTGTCGTCCATGTCAGAATCAAGATCATCATCAGGATCATCATCTGGCAGCTTCGAGCATGGCATACCATCTATGAGGCTTATTCCAAGGTCAAAGTGATGGCACTTGTCAGCCCAGTCGAGATAGCAACAAATCTGGGGATCATAGTTGTTGTTGCTGGATCATGCAGGATCTTTGATTTCTGTGATATGTGCATGCTCTGTTGTGTCCGTGGTCCATTGCATGGCAACACCAGTGTTGTGGATGCTGGGAACTATACTCTGCATAAGCTCCAACTTTGGAATGTACCAATTATTGATGACTTTGTTCTTAGTGCCACAATGAAATCTACCAGCTGTGATTGTGTGTTTATTGGCATGAAACTCATCAAGTGCTCTAGAAATGCACTTGATGTCATCATCATCAATACATGGTGACTGGACAAGATACCAAAACTCCATGAGCACTCGAACAGCTGCAACCATGGTGCTAGGTGCCGTGTCCACACTAACTGCAATTATAAAACACTGGATGTTGCGTTGAGTTTATCCTGTGACCTGTTTGAGCTTGGAGATACCACCTTGAAAATGATGAAATCTGGTGATGGGCTGCAACACAGAAAACCAGAAATCAACTTCCATATCCCCAACTGCAGAAATAAGCCACTTCATGTCATGGTTGTAAAACTCTTCGTGAATGAGATGCAGAAATTCAGGAGTGAGGAAATGAGATGGTTTAGCAAGTATCCAATCCTGCCAGAAAGGTTTAGAGATGCCATTCAAGCAAAATTTCCACACTTTGTGAAAGAAGACCTCAATGTCACTGGGATCCACCCTTGTGTGAATAGCAGCCAGTTGTGCAAGTGTAGTTGATTTTGTGCAAGGTTCATGGCAGAAAGGGTCTCCAAACTGCTTGGACATGGCTGTGGTTACCAGAGATGTTTTCCCACCAACAGTAGCTAACATCATAACCTCCAGAGTATCAATGATGTAGCTTGCAAGGGGCGTAAAACAATAGCAGCTATGTCCAACAGGGTCTGAAAGCATGACCCCTTCACAAGCAGCCTGTTTGAGCAGACACAATGATATCAAGGCATTCATGAGTTAATTGATCCTCCAGTACACCCCAGATGCGTTTATTTTTATGTATGAATTTGAGTACAGGGAGTAGGGCAGTGAGTATGAAGGAATTGGATGAATTCTTGAGTCGTGTGGACATGCTGATATTGGCAAGGCTGATTAGAAGCAGGTGCACAACTCTGTCGCCCATCATCATGGATATATTTATTTTGTCAGATGACAAAATGGTCCCAAGGAGTGTTGTGCCTTTGGGTAGGGCAGACTGTTGAGAAACCAATAAGTACAACAACTCATACAAACAAGAATACATGCCTGCATATTCCATGCATCATCACCTGTCATCCATTCTGAATATATGTAGCACAAGCGCTGTGCAGTACTATAGATCCTGCGAGGTGTGAAGTCCAACCAATCATGAAAGAAAGGATGATTCAGAATGGCTGCAATACAGTCCAGAGGATCATGCCAGTACAGAACAACAGGTGATTTGGTGGGATGACTTGTGGTGAGCACTTGGGACATCCAGTGTGGACCACTGGGCAACATCTCTGCTCTGCCTCATAGTTCCTTGGCTGAGGAAAAAAGATAACAGAAGATCCTTGATCTTGACAAAAGACTTACCATCAGAATTATAATGAAAAAGAAATGATTTGCTTACCATCTCCAGTGACAAAAAACTGTCTATCTTCCCCATGCTCAATCCTGAGTGCAGTAGCCACAATGCAATCTCCCAGTCCTTTCGGCCACTGAACAGGTAATAAGGATTCTTGGCACAGTACACACTGTTCTCATCAGAATTAAATAAGTTGAGGAAGGTGTACCCCTTGCCATATGACTGAGAGGCTTCAGGATACCAGTCAACAAAATCTGAAGCACAAGTCAGTAGTTTTCCCTCCTCATGGACCTGGCCATCACTCTCAGCACTACCTTGAAATGCCTCTGAGTTGTCCAAATCTCCAAATGTGAAGTCCTCAGGCTCAATACTGGGAATATTTGGCTCATTTAGGTCTGCATTCATGGGGTCATCATGATCAATATGAGCAGATACAGACCACAGACATATTAAATCCTGTAGCCAGGTGTTACAAGCTGAGCGAGGCTGGCTCATGTGATGAGCAACAGTAACCTGATCTTTGAAACTGGTCTTGCTGCAGGAAGGACACTGGAAATTAGGCATATCCAAATTGTATCCAAGCAAAGTCTGAGCTGCCAAGTGTGAGATTAGCCCAGTATCAGTAATTAACTTTGTACTCTTTGTTTCTTCACAATGTCAGCCCCACTAATTAGTCTCAATCTCAGCAAGGATATCCCATCACCTTTGCACCTAATCCCTTGCAATTATCTGTGCACACGTCCTGTTCAGCAACATTCAAGCCATGACTTGTGTCATCATAATTCCAGTGGTATTACTGACCTATATGATGTACAGTAAGCAACAAAACTGTTGCAATGTTTGTATGAGATTGATTACTCTGGCTATATCATTACGGGGATGGCAGCTATGAAAATGTAGATGAGAGTGATATTGTAGCCCTACCTCCAGGCCACAATTGTTGTAATACATTGGAGATGCGAAAATGTTTCCTTAAAAGGATATAAGCAATTTACTACATGGTATGCATTGCAATGGTTTTGTTGCTGATACTTTTAAATATCAAAATCCTATCAATAGACATCAGTTATGTTATTTAGTGTGTCTTATAATGTTATGTGACATGCAAAAGGGTCAACATGATATAAACAAAGCCAAATATTGAACTTTCTCAACATTCATCATCATGAAAGCCCTCTCTGCTGACAGAACCAACCAAATCCTTTTTTACCTTGATTTTAACCAATCTACAAGGGAGATCTCACATGCTACTAGTGTACACCATAGTATCATTATCAGAATTCACCCTGAACTTCATTCTGACCTTCAAAAGTCCCCTGGTGGTTGTCCTTCTGTCTTTTCCTCTCTCAATATTCAGCATGCTATTTGGTTAATCAGTACAGACAAGGCTGAAAATGTCACTCAAGTCACAAGAGCACTTCAGGATATCAAGAACCAGCCTATGTCCTCTCAGACAACCCATCATTACTTGAGGAAATCTGGTATGAAGCCTGTAGTGAAGCAAATACACCCTCTCCTATCCAAGTGTCATAGGAGAGTAAGACTATACTTTGCTATCAGTCACCAGCACTGGATGGTGGGTGACTTGAAAAGAGTCATATGGTCATATGAAACCAAAATTAATCATTTGGGGCCAGATGAAAGGAAATAGGCTTGGAAAAGGACAGGAGAGGGCCTGAGTATGAGGCTAGCAGGAGACAAGAGGGTGTATTTGCTTCACTACAGGCTTCATACCAGATTTCCTCAAGTAATGATGGGTTGTCTGAGAGGACATAGGCTGGTTCTTGATATCCTGAAGTGCTCTTGTGACTTGAGTGACATTTTCAGCCTTGTCTGTACTGATTAACCAAATAGCATGCTGAATATTGAGAGAGGAAAAGACAGAAGGACAACCACCAGGGGACTTTTGAAGGTCAGAATGAAGTTCAGGGTGAATTCTGATAATGATACTATGGTGTACACTAGTAGCATGTGAGATCTCCCTTGTAGATTGGTTAAAATCAAGGTAAAAAAGGATTTGGTTGGTTCTGTCAGCAGAGAGGGCTTTCATGATGATGAATGTTGAGAAAGTTCAATATTTGGCTTTGTTTATATCATGTTGACCCTTTTGCATGTCACATAACATTATAAGACACACTAAATAACATAACTGATGTCTATTGATAGGATTTTGATATTTAAAAGTATCAGCAACAAAACCATTGCAATGCATACCATGTAGTAAATTGCTTATATCCTTTTAAGGAAACATTTTCGCATCTCCAATGTATTACAACAATTGTGGCCTGGAGGTAGGGCTACAATATCACTCTCATCTACATTTTCATAGCTGCCATCCCCGTAATGATATAGCCAGAGTAATCAATCTCATACAAACATTGCAACAGTTTTGTTGCTTACTGTAACTGAAGCTATTGGATCGATGGTAAGCCAGCCATATTGTACATATACTCACTCTCACTGACATAGTACTTACAGACAATCAACAATGGCAACAGTCTTGAAGCAAACCTCATCATGGACCTGGCCAGGGTGAGATGGGATGTGTTTAGGGCAGAGAAGATGCTAGCTGATTGTGTAGTGCAAGAGCACAAAATCCTGGTGAATCTTCACAAGTATGTACCAATCCAACATTTTGAAGAAAAAGCTGGACAAGGCAGACATAGGATTAGGCTACATGTGTATCACCTTCAAAAAGCATGGACTTTCTCACTGTGGACCTGCACTATGCAGTTTGCAAGGTAAGTACATTTGCTTGTATTTACCAGCATGGCTCTAATACTGCCCATAATGTCCTACCACAGAACAATCCGGTTGTGATATAACAGTCATCTTAGATTGATGACTCACCAAGTGATTGTTATTTTTTGTGTTAAAGTTGAACTTGTTGAGACTCTCCAAGACCAACATGTGGGCTATGTGCAGTACTGTACATTTTTTAGGCATATATACTAGCATGTTATATCAAACATTGTGTGTAACAAGATGCCAGTGATCATTCCCACAAAAGCCCTTAGTACTTCCAAGCTTGTGAGTGACTTAGTATTACTAGTACTACTGGTTGATTCCAAGTCCCAACAGGAAGTCACTGCAAATTTATCGTGAACATACAGTATACATTCTGTGAGTGCTGTTACTGCTTTGGGTTACTGTGAAATGCTGTCCTATTATGAACGTCTGGGGTTGTGTGTTCTGTGAGCTCTGTTGCCACTTTGGGTGGCTGTGGGAAACTGTCAAAAATTCCCATGTCTGTGGAGAAATTTGTGGTTTGCAGATGTATATATGTTTGAGCCTCAAAGTCATACTAGTCCAGAATGAGTGTAGGTAGCATGTGGTGAAGAAAAGATATCAGTGAAGGAACAGGTATCATGGAATGTGAGCACAAGGTAGGATGATGGTAAGAAATGAAGAGGAATAAATTTTAGAGAGATGTATCCCCATAACTCGGATGTGAAGCGTAAAGCTTGCTCGCATCAATAATTATAAGTCACGTGGGTGCGCTGACGCGACTCTGTCTGAAGTCTTGGTCGGTGCATAAAGAATACTAAACCCTTACACTTTGGCCTTCCTTTTTGTCACTCCTGTCCTGCATATTGAAGTACGTTTGACACCTCCCTGGTTTTGGGCTGATCAATTCAAGGAATCAAGATGATTACAATACACAACGCAATTGGCGATATCTTACTCAGTGGTGTGGTGCGAGTTCTGGACGCCACTCACGACGACTTGTCCGACTTTCAAATCTTCTTCAGAACACCAAATGACTTGTATAGATACCACGACGAAAGTTCAAACAAAAAGCAAATTCTCGCTCTTTCCAGAAGAGTGTTAATCACATCGAGCATCTCCCGCTACACACTACTGTTAGTCGACACATGCACATGCTCCTGAAAAACAATTGAAGTCATGTCGGCTCCTGCATCGGGGTCGGCCACGAGCTTGGCCTGGTATTCTCGAACGCCAAGAATCAGGCGCGGTCCTAATATAAACAACCGCACAAGTTGGAAGATGTCAAGCAATCCAAAGTAAATCTGAGTTCCCAGGGCAGTTGTATCCTGTAGAAATGATAAATAGTGCTCGCATGCAGAAGTAGTGGCAGATTAGCATACCGCTGGCAACATCGAATAAAAATAACCGAGATCGAAGCATGAAACAACAACAGCACTACCGCGTGCAGAACATCAGCGGATCAAGGGACCTACATCGCTTATGAGCTCACCTCGCAAAGTAGACCACGTGAGTTTCCATCAACACCGTGAAGCAATCCCCGATCATTCCTCCCGCTGAATGTTGTCGCAGTTCACGGAAGTGTTTTACAGCAATCCACAATGTGAAAAACAATGCGACAACCTCCCATACAGTGGTGAGTATCCAATTCATGGAATGCAGGAGTAAATAACCGGAGCCAACCGTGCACTGAGAGGTGCCAGAGAGAATCAGCTCCTCTGGTATTCCTTCATGAGCATGACGCACTTAAATCTTTGATTCATAATTAAGCGTACCCCATGAATTATTCCCCGCTGATATCGCAACGGCCACTCCGTCAAAGATGTTGACAGCAAGGAAGGTGGCAATGAGAAATATCAGCACCTTTCTAGATCGCTGATACATAGCCTGTAATCGAGCAATCAGGATGACTTGCATGACATTTCAGTCAACTCGATATCATGGAGTATTGCGCAGCGCACCACCCAACATTGCATATACGACGACACCCATCCAATTCTTTGTGAAGTTCAGAATAAGGCCTGACAATTTCAGTAGTATTAGTGGTCAGCCTCAGAGGCTCCCATACTCAAGACCAGCTCACAGCTGTAGCAGTCATTAAAATTTAACTCACAAGATAGTCGAGAATCCCACTCACCCCTACATGGGAGTGCAGTTCATTAGATAGCCATAAACATCGGTGCGAAATACTCACTGCATCTCCCATTGAGATCGTTGGAACCCAAACTGCATTGCACCAGTCAGAAGAAATAAACACAGAATACACTAGGAGATATACGTACTCAGTATATTGATGCTGATTGTAAGACATGAGGCGGACTGGTTAGCACAATGTCAATTACTTAGTCCTTTTAGACATACACAGCATATGATATTCCAAGATAACGCAGCTAGGATATTTTCCGCGTCAGCACGACCTCGCTAACCACGCATATAACATATAACACAGGCTACATACACTGAGATATAAGACGGTCATAAGGGACCAGCGTTGCTTCTGGCACAAATCAATTTTATTTTCAAGCTGCTCTTCTACAGCGGGAATCTGCTCACCCAGACCAGTTCAACCTATGGGGGCATTAAGTTAGTGAGATTCTTGCTCCGGTCATGATATGAACGTACCTCTTGTCCGAATGTCAGGACTAAAAATATATGAACATGAACTTTTTTTGTTACTAGCTTGCTTACCCCAATCATACATCACCCCAACAGAGCCGGCAACTGCAAAACCATAGTTCAGGTTAGATCAGAAAATCATTAACTGGCCATCCACGAACCTACAAAATAGCTGGAAATACGATAGGAATAAATGGACGGCCACCAACTGGGATTATATGAGACTAGGGTCATAGTATTTCGAGAATGCGTAGGAGTATGAGTGAGCTTGTGAACTTGGTGGATGTTTGACGATGGCGTTTGTGCCGGCAGATACTATGCTATCATCCAGTGGTTGTACGGCCTTAACTAGAAGGACCGGCTATCTTCCTTCGCCTGTAAAGGGCTGTTTAGGGGTGACTAAGCCCAAATGAGCATCAAGGGATGATATTCGTTGCTGTGTTGATTGATTGATGTAATGCAAAATACACCAGATACACCTCCGGAAGACGCTGAACACCAGCCAGTCCATTGCTCATGATTGAATCGGGCGTCGAAGTATCTCCTGAATCCATGAAGCGATACAGATATCATGATCGTCGTAGTAGTTGTCATTGATCTGTCTGAAACTGAACCTCATGAGTGGCTGATGGCGAAGAGATGTAGTCTCCCATGGGCAGATCAGATAGAAGGAACATGAAAGACAACCAACAACGTTCCTTCTTGATTAAAGAACAGACGCATCAAAGAGTATGACGAGCTGCCGCCCTGGTCAAACCTTATGGATATGCTCACTGTTAGCAGTCCAACTAACATGACAGATTTGTACCCTCACGCAACCCCCACGTCAGCTCATGTGTATGGCGCGAATATTGCGTTCTTGGCAGGCGCTTCTCGAGCGATCTATTGTACATCAATCAAATATCATATTGGAATTGTTGGTGATGAGACACAGACTTTCTTCCTTGCATAGCCTATGCAATGAGGTGTTTGCCAGATTATGGACAACGTCAGGTTTTTCTGTCAAGCATCGCCAATTTTATCATGGAGATGACATCTAGATACATATCATGATATCACTGTCACACGTATCCTAGCTTGGAAGGGGGCACTGTTATCACCAACACCTTAGAACATTCTGTGGCTGCCCTTACCTTGGCCGTCCAGGAGGCTTAGCATTTCGATCACTGCGTGTCGGCGGTTGAACTGCACTTGTGGTACGATTGGATCGTGTCGGCCGTGTGTCATGTATCGCGTCTCGCGTCTCATTCCCGTATACATCCTAACTGGGCGAAAGAATGAACACGTACAGAGCCGGCGCGAACGTGAGGCCGAAGTGCACAGTGAACAGGTGGCAATTAGAAAATGATCGTCACTGCAGAAACGACTTTTTAGTTGAACATTGATTCGAGCAGGAATGCTTGGAGATCCCGACGTATTTAAACGTACCTGTTGCTAAGCGGACACAAACACGACTTGCAGAATTTTCGAGATATTTGACGTCCAAAACAGTGGTACGGATTTGTAGTAGCAGCCCTAACAGACCCTATTCAAAGGACTGTCACACACCACGACTAACCAGACCACCTTTAACTTCGCAAGACAGCCTCTTTCCTCACTCAAAACCGCGTCCGTTTTTTTCAATACTGGCCATGCACTAAGTGATGCACACCTCCCAGAGTTGGGTTCCATTACATGATCGATGCGCATAGAGAATGGACAATGGGGAAGCCTGGAGTTTGCGAAGCAATTTCAAAGTGCCTCAAATCGAATGTACACCGGTCTTCGGGTTAGACCTGTGGCGGCGCCGGCCACTGCCTGTAGTGGCTAGTAGCCGATAGATATTTGACTAGATATTGAAAATTTCAAGTTACCCCCGACTCAATAGCCTGTCGGAGTTAGAACTACCCTTTGCTCATCACTCAGAGTCAGTACATGATCAGCCTTGGCAGACTTACCGTATGATGACTCTGTTAATGTTCTTCGAGATTGGTGAGGCGACCGTCAGTTCGAAGTTTCTTACTTTACCATTTACTTTTAGTTCTCACGCCCACCATCACATTTTTTGAGATATTGACACTATCTTGATTTTCATAGCATGCTAATGAGGACCCAGGAGTATCTATCGTGATGGACTGCTCTACATGTTCTGCATCATGAGTGCGAACAGCATTAAGTTATTGATTTTGTGCTGACATCTCTGTAGTGATGTCCGCAACCAATGTGATTGTAATCGCTGTGCTACCTGTGAGTTCTTTCTTTGTTGACCGGATCTCGAAGAACTGAGTAGATCCCTAGTTCTCGTTCAGCGACATGCTATGCACGTTCGTCTGGTCGATCATACATGTAGATGTATATCGTCGAAGCTCATCCCTCCATTTTAGACCTCAGATTGTTACGCACAGCGTTCTTACTTCTCGCATACTATTTAATCTTCCAGTGAACAAGGTGCCAGTCTTCCCACATACAATCGACACCCTCTACGGAAATGACATCTTGTCCACACGAGTTTGATGCGATGTCTGGTGGCAGTGGGACAGCTAGTGGCGCTGACCACAATCAAGTGTAGACTGCTGGTTCTGCAGATAACATGACACTAATGAGCGTTTGTCATTTGAGGTAAATTTTTCACCTTCAGTGCTTCAAATTGCGTATCAGTGGCCATGGACGGGTAATTCAATTTGGCTACTCCATGTGAAATTTCGTCCCTCTTGATCACATGGGTATGATACAAATTGCGACTATTTTGAAATGCACTTACGGTTACAACGACAAGCTCTCCAACGACTCTGTTACATAAACCCGCAGTTCGTCTATTACAGCATTCCCATCTTATAACGATATTCCAAGAACACCAACTGATTCCGCAGTAGCTGATACCAACTTCTCGAAAACAGAAAAGATTTAGGGTCTCCATAGGTAACTTACGAGAGAATGATCGCAGTAAGGTTAAGTCGACATTGACAATGACATGTTACAATTTATGACATCGTGGGGGATTTTTACGTTGCTTCAAGGTGTACAAGGATTCCAAGCCCTATATATGATAGCCCTTACCCCTCTCAGCTCCTGGGTACACGATGGTGTCTGCTGCAGACTTCTCTCAACAGGATTTTGATTATATTATCATTGGTATGTTAAGTTATGCCTTGTGTGCGATTTGTTGATATAACATTTTTACAGGGGGCGGAACAACTGGCCTTGCGTTGGCCTCGATGTACACACTTATCATTCTTCTTCTTTCCCTTCAAATCTAACTTCAGGATGTTATAGCCTCTCAACTAATGCTAGCGTTCGCGTAGGAGTTATTGAGGCAGGTCTGAGGAAGGACGATGAGATGATTCTTGTCCCCGGTAAGTAGTCCAGTGACTTATTGACCTTGTATTGATTTTTCCCGATTTCTCTTGGTAAAGGCATGATCGGCAAGGCAGTTGGAAGTGAGTCTGGAGATGTGCTTTAAAGACAGCGCATCACAGTTCGAGCTTAGATCCCGAATATGACTGGAATTTCGTCACAAAACCCCAACCATTTGCTCAGAATCGGGAGATGCCAATCCCTAGAGGCAAAATTCTTGGTGGTTCATCAGCATTGAATTATATGGCTTACTGTCGGTGCGTGCATGCATACTACGTGCTCGTACGATCAGACACTAACTTTCACCTTCATAGCGGTTCCGAGCTTGAGCATAATGGTGAGTATAAAGGGCCGTGTAACTCAGTTGATTACTTCCATGCTCACGTGCCGAAAGACTGGGAGAAACTCGGCATCAAAGGTCAGTAGTACATCGTTCAGTATGGAACAGGACACATTACCGATCTCACTCGTTCAGGATGGAATTGGAATACTATCAGTGATGCAATTAAATCCGCCGAAGCTTGGAGCCCTCCAACTCACCACGCCAAGGCGCACAACGCAGATAATGTTGCAAAAAATCATGGCAGGTAGGACTAGCACTGTGGATGCAAATTTGTGTGGACGCTTCATTCCCGGGCCAGGTACGGCTATGTCAAGACAACTGCATACAGTTACTATTATGATCTCGTTCTGCCATTTTTCGAGACCATGAATAAGTTGGGTGTGGTCACGAACCAATCTGAAGTACGTTTGAATATTGACAAAGTGAACGTAATTGAAGTTGTTATCAGGCCTCCGGAGACATTATAGGTATTTGGACATACACAGCGTCCATTGATCCTCAAACAAATACACGCTGTTACAGTACAAATGTGAGTGGGCAGAAAAGGCATTTTGAAATATTTGACGATGGATTATTCTTCCAGGCGTATTATGATCGGGTTTCTAACCGATCAAACATCGTTGTACTCACTGGTGCTCAAGCCTCTAAAGTGATTTTCAGACAAACCTCCAGCAGTGACTTGCAAGCTACAGCAGTTGAATATTATAAAGGGGGGCGGACTTACAAAGTCCCTGTGCATCGGGAAGTGATCATATCGACTGGTAAGTGTCTATTGTGATGGTTGAAATGTTAACTCAAATGATGGGGTAAGGCACTCTGCAAACCCCCCAGCTTCTAGAACTTTCAGGTGCGACGCTCAAGCTATAGTATCAAATGATCTGCTTAGTTTTCAATTTCTGCGCTACCAGGGATCGGGAATCCAGACCTCTTGCGTAGACTGAATATTCCCGTAAAAATCGACTTACCTGGCGTTGGCGAAAACTTTCAGGTCGGTGCCACCTCCAGTTGAGAAGCGAATAGAGCCTGATACCTGCCTTAGGACCACCCTAGGGTATCCATGGGTGCCGAGCTGAAAGGCTCGCACGAGACCGCGGATGACCTCAATTCAGAAACCTTTGCTCAACATAGCCTAGAACAATATCGTCTTTCCAGAACAGGGATGCTCAGTAGCACACTGTCTACCCTGGTATTCATTCCATCGTCATCTTTCATCCCACCAGACAAGATGCGGGGTATACTGTCAGCCCTGGACAAGGCCCTGAAATTACCCCAAATCCAAAACTCGCCCTGGAAAAAATGGTACGACGTCCAACGTGCCTGGCTGGAGAATGATGGTATTGCTCAGTTAGAGGTGGTTTTGTTCCCTTGTGCGTCTTTTGTCTGTCACGTATGGCATGGATGTGTGTTGATCACCCACAGCTTATACCCACGCTGCGTGCACAAACGAAAAAGCTAAACATTACACGATATCGGTCTTCCTGCAACATGCTTGGAGTCGAGGACATGTCTGTCTGTTTGTCTTCAAATTGCCACTTAAACTCATGCTTCCACCACAGGTGCATGCGACTTCTTCGTCTGTGTTGGATTCACCAGAGATTGACCCGGCAACGCTCGATTCTCTGGGGAACATTGGTAAATGAATCATTATTCCCCGCAGACAGACCATTGAATCTTCTTCGAGATATGATGATGCTTTTGGAGGCTATAAAATATGCTTTCAAGGTCATGGAGACAGGGGCTCTGGGTGACTTGACTGCGGAAATCATTGAACCTAAACCTTCTTGGTCAGATGAACAATTGATGGATTACATCCGCTCAGATATTGTCAGCGGATTCCATCCTATAGGTAGGTTGCTTAACTTGACAACTGCAAACTTTTCTTATCCAAGTTAACCTTCGAAAGGGACGGCCTCGATGCTCCCTCGGTCCGCCAATGGCGTCGTTGATAACGAACTGAAGGTCAGATTTATCCTTAGTATAATTGTCTGCGAGATGAACTCACGGATTTTCTACAGGTGTATGGGACAACCAACCTGAGAGTGGTGTGTATATATCTCTTGACAAACTGAGCGCAGCTTCATTAATATGCACTTCACAGGCGGACGCCAGCATCTTCCCAATCGTAAGACTGAAAATTGTTGCCTTGGGTATACTAATACGGGTAATCTTAGCACCTGGGAACTCATCCTCAAGCCACACTTTATGGGTAAGCCATCAATGACGATCTTGCGACTTGCTCTGAGAAGATCTTTCTAGGCTGGCTCACAAAGCCGCGGAAATTATTCAAACCAGCGAAAAGGCCAAACTTTGATATCCTCGATGAAAAGTATTGTCCTTGGACGACTGTTTACACAAGTATTATTGCATAGATGTCTCAAGCACCGATAGTTCCTGTTCATGTCTCAATCAAGTCGATTACACAGTAACCCTTCACAGGCACATATTGCTTAGCGATCATCTTGATCACTTCTTGAGCGACCATGCCGCCAAGGAAAGCTGCAGTGTTGGGCAGCTCGGAAAAATGTGCTTGAGCAGTAATAGTGACATGAGTCATAACTTTAAACCAAGATATAACCCTACTCACATCTCAGCAGTGGCATTGCCAACCTCATCAGGAAGCCCAGTAGACTGTCCGACGATGGACTCTGCCAATAGTGACATTTAATCCAAACTTGCCAAGGCCAAGTCCATGAACCGTGACGCTGTAGACGTCTCATCCAGGCTGATACATGTATGCACGTCAAAGATGACCCGCGTCCGAACGTATCACGGAGGGACACTGTAAGTTGTTGGTAAGGAGTCATATCGCAATCATGGAAGCTGTCCACGGCAGACGAAAAATAAGAGTCGGGTAAGAGACAAAGGTTGAACAGTACACATGACAACTACACTGCAACATTATCACTGACGACGCCCGAGGTGTCACTGAGTCGACATTCTGGGCATGAGGGAAGAGCGAGTGAGCGAAAAAGGTGTGAGTCGAACGAATAACTTGTCCGTGGATTCCTAAAATGTCATTCAGGAATGTAAGAGACTCAGCATGACTGCAGGGATGAGCAAGCGTGTGAAAGGGGAGTTGGGGGCTTGACGTGTACTAGTAAGCACAGTACTGTTACGATGGTAAAGCTGAGCACACGATCGAAGCGAGCACCGATGTCAAACGGATCATGCTCATGATCCTGACACGCATCCCTGGGACCCTACACATCATCATCGTCCGTTTCCCTCGCTGTAGCTGAATACGCTGCGCCGCATTGATAGCAGGTTAGCAACCCCATCTGTCTGAATCAGTAATCAGCCAAGTTGACATCCGGTAGCAGTACCTAGGCCTGCATATAGAACCCCGCATAAAATGCCTACGCACGAATGATAGATCACAAATACATTAATCTCAGAAATGTCCTCACCACTGACTCGACTCACCTGGACCCCTGCGCAAGCAGCAGCTCTTCATGGTATCCGCACCGCAATGGGTGCTTTCAAACCTACGTTTGGACAAGCCCAATCACTTGCTGAGCGCGCACAGGTGCCCAGCGAAGGAATCCCGGAAGGAATTCACATCTCTTGTGAATTAGCTCCCCCTTCCCCTCAGATCCCTGTATCCATTCACTCAACCTCGATCCAACCGGGTCAGGTTCCCATCTTCTTTTATAATGATGCGCCTTCCGAGTCCTTTGCTGATGTGAAGAAAGATGACAAAGTCATTCTTCATATGCATGGAGGCGGCAACGTCTCCGGGCATCCAACGGAACAGAGGTTTATATCATTCTTCTCTCGCATACTTTATGCACTCGGGAAGAAATTTGGAGCACAAGGATCCGCTGCACCCATTATCGCAGCTCCTTCCTATAGACTCGCGACAGTCGCCGAGAACCTCTTTCCAGCGGCGTTACAAGATCTATTCTCTGCATACCATCACCTGATCTTAAAAGGCTTTACCGCCGAGAATATCACTATCACAGGCGATAGTGCAGGTGGAAACTTGGGTGCGTAATGATTGATCAAGTTCTTCTCCCATTCGTATCTCACTTTCGTCCAGCTCTTGTCCTCACGTACATTATTTCACAATCCACTCTCCCAATGCCAGGACGCGTCGCACTCTTCTCCCCAGACGCAGACCTCACTTACGCCTCTTCCACCTCCGTACCTCACGATATCATCGCTCTATCAACCTACCAAGCCTGTTCTTCCCAATATCTAGGCAATTTCCCTGCTAGCGACCCTCTAGCATCAGGCATCCTAATTCCATTCACTGCAAGCTGGCCGAAGACATTGGTGTTGACCGGCACAGCTGATAATGTTGCTGAGAGCTCGCGGAGAATCGTGAGTGGTATTCAAGAGGCGGGTGGAATAGCTGAGCTTGTGGAGTATGCGGATTTGACCCATGGGTGGTGGATGTTTCCTCATGTCTTTCCGCAGTCGGATGATGGGTTGGAGAGGCTTGCAGTTTTTGTACACAATTGAATGGATTGTAGATAATTGTGTCTTCTGCTGCAAAGTAATCTATCGTGGTCATGTATGGTCTAGGGCACTTTCAGATTTCTGCCATTATACTACTAGCAGCACCAAAGTTAGTCGAAGTCTGCCTCAACAGAACAGCATCACACGTCCACAAAATCCAAAGGCGCATCCATATCTGTGCATCTACAGACGTCCCAATACAATAGCGCACTCATACCAGAGTACGAACATCACCACACAACACTAAGGCCCAAATCACAGATCCCCAACGTGCCCATGCACGCCCCTCGCAGAACCCTGTCGTGAATTAACGACAGGTACAGACACAGCGTGCGGAGATTTCTGGGGTACCGGCGCAGGAGCTTTGCGAGACGCAGCCAGACGGCGTAAGCTTGATCGGGGTCCCAACAGTTGCAGTGCAGCGCTGTCCATCGCCATCACATTTCCATCCGTATACGCTTGTACTTGTGAAGTCTGGATTTACACCCGTGGTGGGGAAGTAGACGCTGTGAAATCAAGTCCGCGGGGGTCCACGTAAACGTGCATGCTCCATCGACTCAGCACCAAAGTGCGAGGCCCCACGGGACGTCCAACCGCCATATACCAGACAAGGACGCCGTCGTTGGTAAGGCGCAAAATGAATCCATGGATCCAGGATCGTGGCGCTCACGACGGATGAAAACAAGACAAGCACTGAGATGATTCGAACGTAGATATCCATGAGCATTTGCGATGAATGTGCAAAAAAAATACTTACTATTCGAATTCAATTCGTAGAGTACTTGAGCTGGATGGTTCGAACGTGAACAGTTACAAAGAAAAGGCGCAAAGAAAAAAACTTACAAAAGTTCGATTATCTGCGCTGCTCTAGATGTCAGACGTCCATGTCAACGACCAGATCCCAAATCAATCGACCAGGAATATAACACTCGAAACCAGATCAAAAACATACTAGCATGGTAAACATTGACATGGTATCGAGCGCTGCACTACCGGGATGGGTAATAGGTATCACTTGATTCCGCATCCGGCGAACAGTACAGACCCAGACATTCGACTTCTTTGGAATGAGCGCATGCCACCGCTGCCCAGAATAATGTGAACGAGGCCTACCGGTAGGACGATTGACTCTCGAGATTGATCCTGGACTTGCCAAGGCCAAGTCCATGAACCGTGACACTGTAGACGTTTATCTCTGATACTGCATGCACGCCAAAGATGATATACATGCGCTGGCATGATGCGCACGTATCATGGAACAACACTGATGTTGGTAAAGAGTCATATCGCAGTCGCGGAAACCGTGTAATTATGGGAGACGAAAATAGGCATTAGAGTAAGAGTTGAGTGAGAGCAAAAGGTTGAATTTGACCGCCGTTCGGATCGCAAACAGATAAATTTTAAGCAATACTGGCACCTCGATCACAACGCCGTTCATCTCATGTATGCGCCCATCTAAGCAGTACTGTGTAGGGCGGCATTCACAAAGGAGGGAACGGCAGAAGCGCATCATGCTGGGGCTCCAAATAAGTCAGTATATTCTACGACCAAGACATTAATTCAAGCGAGTGGTATATAGCGCATCGCGCATCGTCCGTCGGTATATGTATACGTAGTTTTTCACTCCACCAAGCTTCCCACGCACGCGTCAGTCCAGTTCAATAAAGCATAACCGACCCAGAAAAAAACTCACCTAATCTCTGCATCCCTCCCATCGCGCACCTGCAAACTCCAATGATTCTCAACGCCCAGAACCCGGTGGTAGGCATTGAGGTTCTTGTGTAAGGTAAGTTGGAAGACGCTGGCACTACCTTGACGGGAGATGATGGTGCTGTAGGCGAGGAAGAAGACCCAGATTCGGTACCAGCGTTCGCCGTATTTGTCTACGACCTAGAACGCGTCAGGTCAGTATCACGTAAGTGGGAGGATGAGTAGGACGAGAGGGGAGATGACGGACGCACCTCCTTGCGGTTGCTAACCCAGTTCAAATACCACCTCCAGATAGTAGCACTATAATGCACACCCAAGACATCGATATTCTTCACTTCAAACCCGGCGGCTTCGACTTGGTTGATAACCCAGCCGAGAGAGCAAGAAGCGTCTGCACCGGGGAAGATGTATTTATTCATGAAAAGACCCCTGCGCGGCGTCAGCGCATGAGATGTCAGATGACAACGACACCCACCAGATGAGGTCCTCGTATTGCCACGAAGGACGGATACCGGCAACTTGGAGGACGAAGGTGCCATCATCCTCGAGGAGGTCGTACATTTGACGCATGAATGAACCGTAGCGCCTGATTCCGACGTGCTATTGAGAGTTAGACGAGGAGGTGTGAGGAGGAAGCAGTACTTACCTCTGCCATTTCCAGACTGACGATCTTGGTAAAGTGTCCAGGGCCGCCTGGGATATCCCTGTAGTCCATACATAGGATGCGAGCCTTGTCGGGGGTAACGCCGTTGGTCTTGATGCGCTCATTACCAAATTTGGTCTGGTTTTTACCGAGGGTAATACCTGTGACGTCGCATTTATAGTTCTTGGCTGCGTAGGCTGCGAGGGTACCCCAGCCGCAGCCGACGTCAAGGAGACGGTCATCGGGTTTAAGGTTCAGTTTGGAACAGACGAGACGGAGTTTGTTATCTTGGAGTTCTTCAAGGGAGGCATCTTTGTTGGCATCTGTGATGACGCCGGAGGTGTAGATCATGCGTGGGCCGAGGAACCTGTGGTGTGTTAGAGATAATATCGTCGAGTTAAGGATACGTACCATGAGTAAAAGTCATCGCCTCCTGCACGGTTCAAGTAAGTAGAGTGAATATAAACGTCGAAGACAACTTACTGTCGTAATGGTCACGGACCTGTTCTTCGTCTTGGGATTGAGAGTGAACGATGACCTCGGGAAGAAGGTTCGTGAAGACGTATTTGAAAAGTTCAGGTGTCATGACCATTTTTGCCCAATCATGACGTTCCTCCATGATGTCCAACACGTCACCTGTGCACGTTGTGAGGATGAAATCACAGTAGAAATATAAAGATGAAAATTACCGTTAAAGTCAATCTTGCCTTCAAAGTACGCGTCGTGGAAGACCTGCATTGGGATTTTCATGTTGCCGTGGTACTTTTCCTTGAGTTCCGGATCGTGGACAGTGATGTAGTCTTCGAGGTCTTTACCGGGCATAAGAACTTTGACGTTTTTGCGACGACCATAGGTGCTCGCTACGGCCCAATAAGCGACAGTGACAGGGATACCTGTGATGACGAGTATGAAAAGATATGTCTTGAAACCGCCACGGTTTACAAAGGGAAGGATGCGTTTAATGACCCATGGCACGACGAGGACGAGAGCAGCGAGTTGAACATTTGAGAAGTAACCATTGCCTTCTGCTAAACCAAGCAGCGGTGCATTTTTTATAGAAGGGACCTTTGTGATACGAACAGGTGAGAACGTCATCCTCGCCGTTGTTGCTGGTCTAACAAAATGGAGGGAAGCCAGTTTTTATGTTTCAGCGCTTATGATTTGTTTACATTTGTTTGTATCAAGCGCGTATTAGGGCACACTTGTCGTTGTGTCTATATGGAATGCATATACGTTAGCTTCCTCGAGCGCAATCCACCAGGAGTCGGGGATTTGTATCAAGTGTGCGAGTGACACGCTCAGTTCGCACCCCCGCGATGTCCTACTCACCTCCGCCTCTTCAACACCCGGTTCCGACTCACCCAACCTTTATACCAGAACCACCTTCAACGCCAGCCTCACCTCAAGGTTACCAACGTTTTATTAGTTCACCACCACCAGACCAACAATATGCCGCACGCACTCAGTACCATTCTCCGTTTCCACCAATCCCGAATCCTCAACTCCAACACATTCCCGACTTTTGGGACATGAATGACACTACTGCTCAATTCTCGATGCATTTAGGTCAAACAGCTGTTGCTGTGGGGCAAGACTATGTCCACAAAAATGTATGTGCCCTGAATTTCTCTTTACTCTACTTGCTCACCACATATGATTAGTTTGCCGGTATGGTATCAGTCAATGTCCTAAAACACCACTTCAATGTCTCCAACTCGTATGTAATATACAAACTCCGGCTCATCATATTCCCTTGGCGCCACAAACCTTGGACACGAAAAATCCGTCGTACAGATGCTGGTCACACAGAATGGCAGCCTCCTCGTGATGATATCAATAGTACAGACCTCTACATACCTCGTGTGTATTTTTTTCTATTCATCCACCCCCCTCTCATTTGTTGTGTAGTCATGGCACTCGTCACCTACATCCTCGTAGCAGCGTTGCAAACAGGTCTTCAAGAACGATTCCACCCCGAAATCCTCGGCGCAAGCGCAACACGCGCTCTCCTCGTCGTCCTACTCGACTTTCTATTTGTCCAATGTGGCTGCTACCTTCTCAATGTCCAAGGCACGGGTCACGCAGTAGATTTGATTGCTTATGGTGGGTACAAGTTTATCGGGTAAGTCCGCTCCTTGCACCCTTTACACTTTGTTGCTAACTCAAGCCAGCGTCATCGTCACACTCTTCGCAGGTCTCCTTAATCTAGGCCAAACTATACACGCCCTTGTATTTGTCTATGCATTTGCCGCAAATGCCTTATTCATAGTATGTCTCGTCCCTGTAATATACATGTTGGTCACTACTTACACTGTGTAGCTTCGTTCCCTTCGCTTAGTGGTCCTTCCGGACTCGCCCGCCAACGTAGGCACTGTCAACCCCGCATCTAGAAAACGCCGCATCACGTTCTTATTCCTGGAGGCTGTTTTGCAGGTGATCTATATGGGTATTTTGGTAAGGGTTTGAGTACTTTCTGGGAGGATCCTCCGTTTGTAAGTATAGCTACGATCTCAAAATATCAGTCTGCCTCGTTGCCCTCCTGCTCTGCACTACTCCTGTACGGTGCGCTCCTCCTGCGCGTCCCGTTGACAATTGAATACTTCGGGCTGCTCGGCGCCTCGTGCTATTTACTCTACCTTACATTTTGTCGCAGATCATTCGACGCCACCTCAATGTTCAACATCAATGACAATCGTCCCTTGCCACTTGGTTGTCTTCCTCGACTCTGCTGCTCTAGCCTTCAAGACATCATGGCCCCATGCACAGGTACCCGTGCTGCTCAACCTGGCACGTCATCTGGGCTGGGTATCCACTTTTTCAACCCGCGGAAATTCAGAAACACGCGGAAAACCAGGTGCTTGTTGAAGTGTCAGGTCAGAAGACTAAACAGCGCCACTTGTTCGCAAAGATGGCAAGTCTACTTGCCAGTCCAGCGAAGCCTGAAGAAACTTCACCCGTCCTGGTAGAGCCAGAGGACACTGGTTCTCGAGGAAGATGCTAATGAGGTTTGGGAAGACGCCCTTGAACCTCACGACAATTGTTCTCCCCAACCTGCCTCACAATCCACACCGAGTCATCGTACCCAACCTGATCTCACGTCTACTCGCTTGTATGACAACTAGAAAATTGTTATTCCTACCCTGGTCGAGGTCCAACTAGACTACACTGCGCGGACGCTAGGGACGCCTCTCGAACGAACACTAATTTTTTTGTATTCGTGCAGCTCGCACACATGCGCACAAAAATGGACATCTCTTACCTGTCTTTTTTTTGACCGTAAGTACTCGGTCGCATACATGGAATCTTGAACTTGAGTCAGCTAATTTCTTTCAGATTTCATCTCCATCGACGCGATAAGCTGTAGATGTGCTAACTTAGCGCAAACACTTATTTTCCACGACTTATTCCCTACTGCTCCCTCCCAGCCCCGAATGGTCATATCAGTCCAGCTGCTCGCCTTCTATTGCTCTCTTTTTGAGCGCTCACGCGACGCCGTCAACGCACTTGCATCCGACGAGCATACCAAATAACGAACGCAAAGGTATGTGTAGGTCGACTTCAAATACTTGTTCAGCTACCAGGGTGAAATTATTCAAGAATCTTGCCAACGGGTTCTAGGTCACACCATCCAGTGGTTCGTGCGGTTCTGCTACGGGCCTAGCCGGGCCGGCGAGGCGAAGACACTGCCAGTACTTGCAAAAATGACTTGGGGCAACGTACTATGACTATCAATGTTTCGAACATCAAAAAGTCGGGCATTCCCCTCTGCATCACTTCCAGCTTGGAGGTCAGTACGTTCAATGTCCAAATGCCAAACTGTATGGGGGAGAAAGTCGGGGATCGGCGAGAGGATAGCCTTTATTATTTCTTTTTACTATCATCCCCGTTGTAAGCGTTGCTACGGTACATATTTACTAGTATATTGTGAATGCTTACTTCGGAAAGTCTGTCTAGAGGTGACCCAACTCGGCACGTAAGCGACAGAAAAGAGGTTTGACAGATTCTGGACGGGTACACTTCTTTGGGTCAAAGTTGGGTTTCTAAGCCGCGGAGGAACGATGCGACATAGATTTAGTCTATGCAAAGTAGCTCTAGACTGACCACTCTTTTCGTACCTTGCTGCAGTCCACCGCCTCCTAGGGTAGGATGCTTTTAACATGGGGAGGGGCTAGTGAGCCCATTGACAGCGGTTTCGAGCCTGCGAAAGCCCCCGTCAGGGGGCTGCCGCTACCCCTACTGCTTGTACTTCTAGTTCTACTTAGAAAGTCTCTCCTTCTGAAGCCTTTGTTAATGGAAGTAAATAAATCGTGCGACACGGCGGTCCATGCACCATCTATGGCCTATTGATGGAGAAGTTTTACAAATTTGGGGTAATCCTTATTGCAAACGAACGAGCCTTGAGAGTCTAAGCTTAAGCCTGATGCCCCGAGACGACAAAGAAAGGGACCAGACTACGAACCTTTCGACTCGTCTTCGGGATTTCATGATCGAGTCCGTATAGAGCGTGTGCATAGATTGCGGGAATTTGGCGAGCTGCGGCCCGCCTCTATGACGACATGCGCGGGTAAATCAGAAAGTGGTCAACGAGAAAGAAAAACCACGCAGCGTGACATAATGGGTGACTTCCCATAGGCAAAAATAATGTAGAATAGAATATAATTTCACGTATTAGGAAGGTGTGCCGCGATGCCGGGTGACATCTCGTCACCATTTGAAATCCATTAAGGGTCTACCCCCCCAATAAACCTTAAATCTGTAGGGGGGGTACCCCCCCCTGCAGATTATTCTAACGAGAATAAACTCAAACTTGCCTTTTCAGGACCACTCACACCAGCGATATCCGCTGACATAATCTACCCTCTGTCATCCAGCACCTTTCAAACTTCGATACTACCGCTTCAGCACCGTTCGATACTTCATGAATCCCTCGTATATGTCAGCAAATTACTGGGTGCTTGTACAGAGTTGTACAAGTTTGTACAAACTTGTATAGGCTCACAGAACTTGCATACTTACTGTTACGACGAACTAGGATGGGCGCGACGACAGGTACTCAATAAGACACGCCTGAAGCCGGATTGTATCCTCACAAATGTAAGGTTCTTAAGACAAGTCAGAGAGAGTGTCTCTGGCTTGAATATCGGTTATCAGACGACTTAGGATTGGAGGTCCTAAGCGAAGGATAGTTCAGGTAAGACCTAGTAGATTAAAGTGAAGTCTAACTAAGTACAGGACCCAGCTTATATAGGTGTAGCCTACTTTAGGGTAGGTACGTATTTGTCATCTAGACGAGTCATAGATAAGGACCGAGTCAGAGATAAGGGATGAGTCATAGATAAGGGATGAGTCATAGATAAGGGATGAGTCAGCTAGCGACGGCATGCGGCAGTTGTGCTGTAATACGGTTACAGTAAGTTAATAGGCACTCTATAGGACTGTTGGCCGCTTTGTGATGAGCCAAACATCTGAGCCTCACACTAGCGCTCGGCGCTTGCCAAGGGACAACGGTATGGCATCAGCCATGTTGCGCAGAGTGAGGAGGAGTATGTGCAGGCAAATGAAAGGTACCGTGATACCGTTGTTGGGATGAGTGCAAAATCTGTTGCAGACTAATTTGATGCATCATAGAATTAAGGTAGTGTAATACAAGGCCAAGGGCACCTCCGACATCAAGAGATCGTCGTTCGACACAGGGATTAGCATATTGACTGATGTCGTCATGAGGAATGGGTGCATGGTACCAATGTTTCACAAAGCCAGAGGTGAGTATGAAGGTGAATGTCTCCACATCAAAGCCCATAGTCGTAATGAAGGCTCAATCATTCTGGCTCACAAATAGTGCTTGCCATGGGGTATTCATCTGTGGATTTGGAAGGAGCTGTGCATGGCAAATGTATTGTCCCAGTACAGTAGCTGCAACAATGAGTGCAGATTCTTCATCGTCAATTACTTCTGTTTCTATCTCATTTTGCAACGCTTGATATTGATATAAAATATCATGCATGATATTCCGTTGATCTATGGTTTGGTTTTTCATACAGAATATCTGATTGCATAACTTGGAAAATGTTTTTCAAAGTCTGGTATATGATAATCCAGATTATTTTGCCTATGGGAAGTCACCCAATTACATAAAGAGTGGTAAGATTGGCCATTACAGCTACCTTCAGATTGATACTATCATTCCGGGTAATCTGCAACATGCATGTAATAGGGGAGTTCACAGTTGTGTTGGTGAGGTGTTTTTCGCTGAATTTGTCACTTTGTTGTTCACCTCTGTTTGTCACCTCAGTGACCAATGGTTTAGAAATCCCAACTTCGGCATGCTCCATCTGAGTCTGAATTCTGCTCAATCTCCAATTGGACTGCTCCGTTCTAGTTGAGCACTGCAGTGATGCACTTCAAGGTTATGGCACCCATCCGCACTCAATTAGGGCGCGGGAAGCACGCTGATTCTCCACCACTTTCGCCCAGCAAACTCCTGGCTGCAAAACTGCTTGTTGCCAAGACCAAGAAGGCTGCTCGGAGGCCCAAAGTCAACCTTGACTTGGGTGATGCAGTGTCCATCAAGAAAGCTGCTGCCAGTTCCAACTGAAGAGTCGTCAAGTAAGTGCACAAAATTTCAGTTATATTTAGCTGAATTTTGCAGCTGGTCTGACCCAAACATGTCTGCTCTGACAGACAAGCTGCTTACAGTTATATCCAAGCATGTGACTTACAAAGTTGCCTTCAGGTTTGATAAAGGTGATGCAGGATCTGTGAATTCCAGTGGTAAGAAGGTGAAGGAGCACACTGAACGTATTGTGGAGAAAGTACTCTTGCTTGATACTCTCAGTAATGAAGATCTGACAAGCAGATAGAAGGATATTGAGATCTCAAAACTCAGTAAATCCATATATCAGCGAATCAGATAGTAAGTTGTTTCACACGAAAATAATTGATTCAGAATGCTAATCATCATGCAGCCTCAAGGAATCCTACTCGAAACACTACCAGGAACTTGGTCAAACTGGCCAGGGTCTGCTCACAACAGACCATCATTGTACGCTTTGTAGGGTGACTGGCACCAATTTTCCAGTGGATAGGCAGAATCTGCCCAAACCCACTCACTATCATCTAGTAGGATTGAGTGCTCTTGAGGAAGCCGTGTTTCTGCCCATGCTGTTGCATCATGTTGACTTCCAGGCATACCAACACCATAGTTAATGATGTGCAAGTCAGGTGTTGAAATGAGCTTATTTATTTGGTTAATATGAGTCAGTTGTACTAGTGGTTGACTTACCTGCACATTCATTGAATAATTACTTTTCCTGTTGAACCAGGTATTGCCATAAAACCCAGGGTGCTGGTATAGTGGAACTAAAGTCCCATCCACCATCAACCAGCCATGTCACCAAGCTGGGCAAGATGCCTCTTCCACCCACTCCTTAGCTCACTCGATTGTGTTTGCATCAGGCCAGTGAACCACAGCCTTTCAGAAGTGATCCTGACACACTGCAATCATGATGTGGTTGGTATACAACCTCACTGTACCATATCCAATGCCAGCCCACAGTGCAACCTTTGTTACAGTGGCAGCATTGCCATAATGGCCAAAGCAAAACAGGGCAACTGCAAGTTGTCGATCAATAGGATCCTGTGCATTCTGTGAATTATTCTGAAAAATTGGATCATCCTGAATAGCAGCTAGGAGTGCATTGAAAGACTTGGGAGACATTCAGACATATGAGCAGAAGATTTCAGGGTGATTGAGTTTCCAATCAGTGAGGAGGAGAGTAAGATCTTGTCCACTTTTATTGATATTGATCTGATCTGTCAGATATCTTTGGGAGTATAGGTCACTGGCTAGCTGCAGGAATACCTGACCAGTGGCATTTGTGATCTCAAGGTTTTCATCAGTGTCAGATGATAATGAGTGATCAGAGTTAGATCCATTGGATGAGCCATACAGCTCATGATTGATTGTAGACTGAGTTTGGGTGATAAGATTTAAGACATAAGCATCATATACAGCCTGAATAGCTTGTCTTCATGGTGTGCTGCAAGGCATGGTGAAGTGGTACAGTAAATCCAACTTGATCTTGCTGTTATTGCAGCCACTGCATGGATTACATAATGTATGTTACTGTGTCAGCAGACTCAGCATCCCTTTCAAGTGATGCAACAAATTTGCTGACCAGTGCGCGAACAATGGGGTTATCACAGTCAACCAATGTTTTTCAGTGTTTTTCAGACTTCAAAACTTTTATGAAAAACAGGCGAAAAATGCCTTGCCAACACAACTGTGAACTCCCCTAATATGCAAAATGTTCAAAACACCTCAACGCACTGCTCAACTCACTTCAAAAAAATTCATGCATATGTAGACTACTTATATATGATGTACTGTCCAAGTAGAATGAAAATTTCTCGCATGTTGCAGCTGTGAGGGATGAAATAGTGGTAATTTGTAACCATGCAGGAACATAAATTATCCAGATCCCATAGATCCTGCAGGTATATTCCTGAAGTTATACCTGGAGCACAACAATCACCTTGTCAGGATTACAGAACACAATTTTGATAAAGCTCATCCTGTCATTTTAAGATGCTATAGAGGAAGAATTGATGACATGTATGAAAACATGACAGTAGATAGGAGAGTGTGTAACAAATTCAATCTCCTCTATGGCACACTCGGCAAGTGCACGAAGTCTTGCATTGTTGTCTCCACTTGCATCATTCTCACATCCTTGTTACAATGGCACCAAACCGCAGGCATACTACCAGTCAGAAGAAAGCTGAAGAAGATGTGATTTGCAAAGCCAACTTCACTGCTGCTATTCAGGCTATCAGAGAGGAGAAGACCAAGAACCTCTGAACAGCAGCTGCAGAGTTTAAAGTCCCATACCATACTCTTCATCAGCAGGCACAGAACCTCACTAAACCTCATTTGAAAGCCCACAAAACAGCCAACTACTTACTGAAGGGCAGGAAGCAACAATATGTGACTAGGCCAAGTACCTGGCTATGACAGGTCACCCTCTCTCCAAGTGCAACCTTCATGCAAAGGTGTCAGAGCTTAGCGAGAAGTTAAAGGCAAAGAAGAAGCTCACTGGAAAAGATAAGGGGCCATCAAAAACCTGGGTCAAAGATTTTCTTGCTTGCCATTCAGAACTCAAGCTAGGATGCCTGACAGGCATCGATCCGAAGTGGATGCAAATGTTTAACTATACAACTGTCAATCACCACTTCAAACTCCTGGACAACTTCTTGAAATCTGAGAACATCCCCTGGGATAATGTGTATAACATGGATGAGAAGGGGATTCAACTTGGAGGGGGAAGGAAATGTGATAACATGAAGTACCTGTTTTCACGGACAGCAAAAGCCCGAGTCAAGGCAAAGAGTGACCAGCTTGAGCTGGTAACAGTGATCGAGTGTGTGTGTGCGGACGGCACTAGTTTGAAGCCCAGCTTCGTATTTTCTGGGTCACAAATATACCCTGAGTACTTTGAAGAAGATGGCATCATGTGAGTCTCTGCTCAATCATAGGTAGAAAAAGCTCACTCAATTCTGATATCAGAGTTGTGACATCTGAAAATGGCTGGATGAGTGACTTCATTGGCACTGAGTGGTTTGTGAAGAGTTTCGTGCTGCAAGCCAAGGAATGGAACTCATCTGGTCAACCAATCATCCTAATATACAATGGACACCACTCACATGAGACAATTAAACTTCACCAAGCAGCAGAAGAACATGGTATTCACCTTTTTGCCTCCCCCCCCACACAACACATCACTTGCAATCTCTCGATGTGGGTGTTTTCAGTCCCTTGCAGAAACAATGGCAGAGATGCAGTGAGGTCATAATGGAAGAGACCAGGGAGGGGATCAAGAAGCACGATGTGATTCAAGAGTACATGAAGGTGAGAGATATCACATTTAAAGAGGAGATGATCCTACAGGCCTGGAAAAAGAGTGAAATTAGACCGATAAACCCAGGAATATTTACAGAAGAGGATTACGCACCAAGTTATGAGTCATCCACCCAGCTGCACCTCCCCACCACCTTTCCTGTCAATCCAAGCTCTGATCCCCCTTGGCTGCCCTCCGAATCCAATCCCCTTTCCGAATCCAATCCAGCATATGAGCCACCACATGAGAACTTGTCCAACTCTGACAGTTCAGAATCAGACTCAGAGTCATCATCTGCCAAGTCAGACAATGACTCAGGCAATCATACTCATGGCTTCAGTGAAATGACAGATCAAGAGACAACCCTGCAACAATATTCATCATTATCAGTGCCTGAAGCTGGTCCCTCACGTTTTGCTGGCTCACTCAACTATACTCCAACACCTTCCAACAGCACAGCAACTGGTACCAGCACACACCCACCTCAACACCACACTCAATCAGTATCACTTCAGACATCATTGTCATGAAGTGCAACACCTGCACTGATCGAGCAACCAAAAACAATGGCAGAGTGTCTCCAAGACACTGAAGAAGAGGTTGAATGGCTGTGTCAAGAGAATGAATTATTGATGTATCAAAAAGATGTGGCAGAGACTCACTGCTATTTTTCAGGTCAGATGGCTGAGCACTACAAGGAACGGTTAAACAAGAAGCTCAAAGACAAATCTTGCAAGGGATCAGGCAAGAAACAAATGAAGCTGTATTCAAGGGTACTGACATCAGAGGAAGGCCACATAGAGCTGAGGGGGCTGGAGGCTGAACAGGCTGAGCATGAACGTCAAGAGGAGGCGAGCGAAGGTCACAGAGGAGCAGGGAAAACATGATTGGCAAGCAGAGCAGGAGTGGTCCCAAGTTGCATTTACAGGCACAATCAAGACAAAAAAATTGGACAAGCTATGTGACATAGCTGCAGCCTTGTGATTACTGGAGACTGGACTCAAGGCAGAGCTGCTCCAGCAAATTGTGCAGTTCTTTGATGGCCAACCAGAACTCAAGAGAAACCAGCGGTACAAGGGTTTATTTAATGCCCCCTGTTCTCGCAGGCAACATGTTGAAACCGGCAATAACACTACTGAGTCAGTACTGCAAGACACACCGAGTCATCAAAATTCGATGCACGCACCATTTGGCAGCTATCAACCGCAGCCTATCCCTCAACCCTCGATGTCACACATGGATCTTCCCCCACCCAGCAGGTATGCGCCCCCATATTATCCCATGCACCATTCGGCACCTCCACCTATTCTCCACTTTGCGCCAGCAGCTGGTAGTAGAGCGGATTTTCAAGTTGGTGCTGAGGTACAAATGTATGATGTTGCACATGGTCAACCTTATTCAGGACCCTATCACCAGTACACTCACAATAATTACATGAATCATGATACTTGATGATAATATACAGTGGCTCAAAAAACTGTCCGCATGTTTTTGCATTTTTTACTATTTACAATATTGTGTGAGAATACATAAAGACCTCAGTGACATGCTAATACCATATTATAGTGCTGCTTCAGGGCTTTGGATTGAGCACCACATCGTGAGAATCAGAGGAGATATGGTGGAGATACAAGGCTTACAAAATCATGACTCATGCAGACAGTTTTTTGAGCACATATTAAAACTATATAAATCATCATTCATGACACCATAACAATCATGCCACCATTAAATAAATTATAAAGTGGTGTCATTATGTCATTTTAAAACCATATCTAACTATACAAACCAAAAATTTCCATATGTCATGGTTATATTCACTATGAAAGCCACCCCCCCTGCTCAAAGGGATAATATCCTCTCTCTTTCCTATTCTGGCCTCTCTGCTTGTCAAATTTCCTCTAGAACTGGAGTATCCAAGTCCACTGTGGCCAAGTTCATCAAAGAAAGTCACACAGACAAGGAAAACTTCTGTGAAGGGCGTCCATCCAAGCTCACCTCTACTGATAGGAGGGCTATTATTCAACATATCACTACAGGAAAGGCTGATAATGCTGTCCAGGTCACCTATTACATCAATTCCACCATCACATTCCCTGTCTCTTTCACACACTGTGAGAAACATTCTCAAGACAGCTCATCTCAGGTCAGTAACAAGGAAGAAAAGGCTCTCCTCTCTATCACACATATGCAGAGAGGACTAGCACCCTTCTTTTTTCACATATATACCTTGCCATCTGACCCAATCCTATTTATTGTGGTCTTGTGAAGAGACAGGGAATGTGATGGTGGAATTGATGTAATAGGTGACCTGGACAGCATTATCAGCCTTTCCTGTAGTGATATGTTGAATAATAGCCCTCCTATCAGTAGAGGTGAGCTTGGATGGACGCCCTTCACAGAAGTTTTCCTTGTCTGTGTGACTTTCTTTGATGAACTTGGCCACAGTGGACTTGGATACTCCAGTTCTAGAGGAAATTTGACAAGCAGAGAGGCCAGAATAGGAAAGAGAGAGGATATTATCCCTTTGAGCAGGGGGGGTGGCTTTCATAGTGAATATAACCATGACATATGGAAATTTTTGGTTTGTATAGTTAGATATGGTTTTAAAATGACATAATGACACCACTTTATAATTTATTTAATGGTGGCATGATTGTTATGGTGTCATGAATGATGATTTATATAGTTTTAATATGTGCTCAAAAAACTGTCTGCATGAGTCATGATTTTGTAAGCCTTGTATCTCCACCATATTTCCTCTGATTCTCACGATGTGGTGCTCAATCCAAAGCCCTGAAGCAGCACTATAATATGGTATTAGCATGTCACTGAGGTCTTTATGTATTCTCACACAATATTGTAAATAGTAAAAAATGCAAAAACATGCGGACAGTTTTTTGAGCCACTGTATTGCTGTATTCATTATTTATCAGAGCATTAAGTTTCAAGCTTCCAGTTCGATGACTCAACACCAACAGATCGAGAGCACAGTGCGGAGAGTCAAAGTTGACTGTGCCGGTGCTATGCTGAGGTGTGACTTGACGTGACCATATTTTGCAGATTAGCAGTCAGACCCTGAATTTTCTCAGCTTTCATCCAACACCACACCATAAAATCCTAAAAATGAGCAAAAATAAGATCTATATAGAGGCGGTACAAATCTACAACACTCTAAATTCGTGGAAGATAATATGAAGTGATTGACGAGCTACAAAAGATTTGCTGAAAATGTTGCAGATTACCTGGAATGATAGTAGGCCAGAATCCATTTTCGTTCATTCACCACTTTTGTTTACTTGTGGAGCTAGACAAACAAAAGGGTCCCGCCTGTTACGATACTTTGTCAGCAAGATACCCCAGAATGGCACTGAACTGCGCAGCTTTCTCATTCGGCACTGTCTTCAAGTTCGGACACTCTCACCATGGTTGGAAACTGCCGTCATATTCCAGCAGCCATAAAGCAACAATGGGTCACTATGCCTGCCCAAATGTCATCCAAGGCCATAGCACAAGTCACTAACACAAGCCACCAAACTAGAGCGGATCATGTTGAAACCTGCGAGTACTGAGCTCAGCGGGGTGTCAGACGCAGCGTCAAATGAGCAGCATACCGTATCATAGAAGTTGCGCAGTCCAGTGCCATTCTGGGATATTTCGTCCGACGAAGTATCGTAACAGGCGGGACCCTTTTGTTTGTCTAGCTCCACAAGTAAACAAAAGCGGTGAATGAACAAAAATGGATTCTGGCCTATCGATCTGAAGGTAGCTGTAAGGTATGCAAGAAATACGCACCCTTCCAAAGAAAGGAAGGAAAGGAAACATGGGCGGGGACTCCGGACTTGGTCAGGATATCGATGTACACAAGTGTTCGGTCCGGCGCTCAGCAAAATCATTGAACCAAATATGATGTCTCCTCACTCGATATCATGGACCCAGAGTCTCTCAGGTATTTTTTATATGTTTCTATGTATGTGTATGACCCTCATGCAACTAATTAATTTCCCCTACTCGGCTTGTCGGCCAAGCCGGGCCGGAATATCATGCATCACGTCTTGACTCGCAGCAGAGTAGTGTTACTACTGCCATTACTGGTACTGATAAAAATCAGCTTATACGATATAACATACCTATCATGTTGTCTCATTTGACGATGCCGATTCTTTGTTTGTTTCTAACAATTTTGTTTGACAATTCACAGGTCTTTCACTAAGAGGCAGTGCCATCCCGAGCAAGTCTTGTGCTCGGCGGCCTGATCCAGAGGCTGTACTGATGCAAGTGTGGCAATAGAGAATGATCTTGGAAAAGATCACGAGCTACTTGACGACCGTGTCTTCAAATGGCACTGCTTTACATATCTATATAACAGCGTTCGAACATGTGTACGTTTTCAATGATTCTAGTCCACCAAGTTCATTATTCACTGACATCAATCTCTTGAATATGAGCCGAATCTCAGATGATCCCGCTTGGTGGCCACTGATCAACTATGCATTTTCTTACAGTTATCATGTAGGTTCGTTGAAAGGAATTCGGATCATGTTGGCGACGCTCTCACTCAATCAGTGATGATTTCGTAGTTGCATCCTCTGTTGTGGTGGTATACGATTGGGGTGAGTAAGATAATATATACACGAGGGAATTGCTGATGTACTTATCGTATCTTCCAGCACTAATATCTGGAGAAGAAGTAAGTCGATACCATTACCACAACATCCATTCCGCTAAGAACGGTTGTATAGTTCGAGCTGATCTGGGTGAGCAGCATCACATATCAGCACGGATAGTAATGTAAAATTTTCGGAGCAGTCTCAACGCTGGTCCCTCATCACAGTGCTATATCTCGGTGTGCGCACCCTTGACAATTACCGTTGACGAGCTGTGCTGACTTAAAATGTTCTAGGTGCGCTGCCTAGGAATACTATACTGTGGGTATGTTTCCGAGGCTAATAAGTTAGCACTATGCTAAAAAGCCATCTCTCACGAGCAGCACCAGCATTCTGTGTATGTTCTTACATATACTCTGTCCATTGTCCCTGATTGGCGAAATCCAGGGAGTCTCTCATCAGTCTCGATGAAAGATACAGTGGGTCTTCCGCACTGAGCGTTGCCATTCCGGTTCAACTAAATATACTTTTACATAGGGGTGAGTAAGATTGTTCAGCTTGTTGGTTCAACATAATAACCGAAACAGCTGTGAGTTTGTTTGAAGCATCTGCGGGGCTCATCAGTAACTATATTTTACAGGCACTATTGTTTCATACATACAGGACTGGATGCCTATTGTCATATTTTTCATACTGGGCGGTGAGCTCCTCAACTGCAGTAACTCAGACTTGACTAAAATATCATGCAAAGTTGTCATGATCATTCGGTTATACGCCATGTATCAGGGATCCAGAAAGATACTTGTCTTTCTTGTCGCAATTCTTCTGGCTCTCATGATCGCGACCGGAGTGCTCCTCGCGATAGTAGAAAGCTATACTCATTTGGGTAAGCCTTGGTTTTTTGTGATAGATTTAAATGCACACTCATGAGAAGAATCTCAGAGGAGTTTATCCTTTGCGGTACCTATCAGTGCATGTACTACGAGGAAGACATCCCACTTCTGATTGGCTATGATTGGAAGTTCGTCACTGGACTCATATGGGAGGTCATCACATTGTGTCTTGCAGTTTGGATTGTGATCAAACATTTCCGTCGACCGCAACGACAATCGACAGGGTGGACCGTCAGGGACTGTTTCGCCGTGTTAATAAAGACACACGTGCTCTACTTTGCAGCGTGAGCTCGTCATGTGAATGTGATTAACATTGTTCTTGAAGTTCCTTACTGTTAGCTTTGTTTTTGTCTCTTGTTTCGCATTCGGCGGCCTGTCCCCGAATATGTCGGTACGCACAATCTGTGACTGACATCTGGATCTTACCACTCATCATCATTTCTATAGAATATCGCTTCTGCGGGAGTTGATGAGTACGGTGGCTTTTATCAAATTGCTACCATCATGGAACTGTGTGTACTTGGACCACGCCTCATCCTCAGCGTTCGAGCATATCACCTCCAGGTTCTGGCCGGCTCCGACCCGGAAGGAACTGCTATGACTACAATTGCTTTCCAAGAGCCCGAGTGTATACACGAGTCAATTGACAGTGGTGTGTAACAAGGAGGGGTTTTGCAATTACTGCACATATATATATTGTTAAGGGTATAGTGGCGTACGACTGTATGCGCTATCTTGTTATGAGACGAGCGAGAGGGGCGAGGAGTCTATACAACAAGTACAATCTCAGTATCTTGAAAGAACTCTGTTAATGTCTCGTCTACCTATACAACAAGTACACTACGTTATCGTTAGACTTTGTAGCATGCGGGTGACGATATTTAAGGCTTACATCTCAGTATCTTGAAAGAACTGAGATGTTAGGGCGTTTCTACTGACGCTTTTAAGGTGAGTACTGTTATGACTCAGATATAAGAATGAAACACAGAAAATAATGTAGGGCGCGAGCCGACGTCAATACGTCGCTCGCCTCTGTCCATTTCGGCTTGTGCTCGTACCTCTCACTCACTTCCCTTCTCTATCTCGGATCCTTCGGTCTTGGTCCTCTCGGATCTCTCGGAGTCCAACACGCTAGTGAGGAAATGTAGAGGCAATGAGACGCCAGACGGACACTTTCAAAGTGTTATACTCCCCAATGCCAGATAGTACCATGCACCAATTACTATCGTGCTGGATATAGACCCGCATAGAGAAATAACCTACAAAAAACAAATGCAGTGAGCCAGTACACAGTGGCTAAAATAATACTCGTGATTGAGAAACGTTCAGGCATGATGACGGACATGTAGGCCCGGAAGATCTGAGGTTGATGATGTAGCCCTCCGAAATCGGCACTACCACCGGGAAGTCTCACCTCAAATATGGTCAGGTTCAAAGACAAAGGAGCTCCCTTGGAGATTCAGACTGAATTCCAGTTAGTGATCCAATCAGTATCGATGACCTCTCAGACGAGAGCCAGTAAATGAGGCGGACAGCCGATTCGACACAGCATGCCCGCTCTGGTCTCCGGGTTTTGTTCTTGTCGAGCCCGTGAGATTGTAGAATTGTCGCTTTCACTGAATTGCTTGTAGTTTACGTGTGCATACGACTACATGCGTTCATGTACGATAATTTTCTGAACCAAACCTGCTCCTAATCGCCCTATGTCGTCCAGAACTGCCTGTCGATTTAACATGACAAGTTCCTTGTCCTTCGCTTTATCCCCCTATCAAATGTTGGTTTAGATACAGAGGGTTCAATGGGATCGACATACCTTGGGCAATGGCTTACTCGAGAAACCTGCTAGTGCACGGAAGGGACGGGGCGATTCCAGACCCGGAAGCCAGATTGCTCCAATGCGATCACCTCCCAAGGGGTCAGCAAAGAATTTTAGTGTATCAGCGAATGTGGTCTGGACAGGAAGAACTGTCAAGAGAACCCTCCGTTCATATGCGAGACATACCTGCAGATCGGCGAGAAACAGGGGAAGAGGATCAAATCCTGGGCGGGGCGTCGACTCCGTCATGCCCAGATGAGAATCTCTAGTCCAAACACTCGATTCCGCATTGATGTTTTGGTAGTACCTGGGTAGAACTGCAGGGTTTAGTTGGATAACGATATCGTAGTCGTCAGTGGAATGTAAGAAGAGACTCTAAAGGACAACGTCAGCTATTTCATCACATGCAGGTCTGTCAATCAACCTTGATATCTATTTTCGTCTCCGCATTATGGAGTGCTTTGCTGGCCTCCTTAGCAAATGCGCGAAGACGACGAACAACAATTGCATCTGGACCATTTGACGTCCACACTTCAGGTGCCGCTGCTGGGGGATCATCCTTATACAACGGAAGACAAAGTGGCTCCTCCCACTTCCAATCTGTTAAGAATTCTAAAACGAGGGAGAAACCACGTTCTTTACTATGAGGCACAGTAGCGGCGCTCTCTGTCGATTTCTGTTTTCCACCAACGAATGGTAGTGCACAAATGATCTCGACGGCCTCCTCTGAGACATGAGGTTGCAACAGCCAATGTGCAGCAAGCCAGCGCTTGACAAGGCGAACAGTGCCAGAGTATGCGCTGTACTTGTGGCAAAGATTAGCGATGGCACGATGGTGTCGTGGAGCATGGATGAATCGCCGGGTATAGAGTTCCTTGGCGACCTTGGCTTCGCATTGTTCCCGCGCGTTGTATTGTTGGTTGCTGGGGCCAACGAACATCTTGCTAGGGTCAATGATTCGGTCAAGCAAAGTCGCCTCTCGATCGTGCCAAATGAACGCAGAGAATGACCAGCCTTCAGCAGTAAATATTTCAAGCGCTGCGCATCCTTGAAATGGATTTGAGCTATCGTCGATAGCAACTGACGCCTTGAGTCCGGTGTTTGAAGTCATAAGTGACTGGGCGATGATTTCAAAGAAAGCGAGCTTGATTTTCTGAATCGCTTTTAAGTCATCCGGCCACTTAGATGACTTCTCGAATTCGAGAATGATAGGGATAGTTGGGAGAAAACGCAGAGATTCCGGTAATTCTGTTGAAGCCGAGACAGGAATCGGTAGTGGTGCAAATGTTGAGGTATACCGTAGGTATTCAGAAATGGGGTTAACGTTCAGTAGTGCTAGTGGTAGCTGCTCGTCCAGTGTTTTCAGGTTCTTGACGACACCATCGAATGCTGTTAATGCAGCCTTATACCCACCCGTAGCTCGATGTAAACAACGGACATCATCCGGCAATCGGAGTATGCTGTCGAATGGCGTCTGCAACGTTCTGGCATATTTGGCGGAAATGCCAAAATGGAGTTGCAGTAAATGTTGGACGATGGAAACTGGTATATGTGCACGTTCATCAGACGTCGTAACTTCCCAAACCACACTCTCCGTGATACGACCGTCCTTGAATCGACGAAGCTCAGCACGGCTGCCCCATAGATACCGGAATTCTTTCGCAACGTTTGAGTCTTGATCTTCTGCAGAAGGTCCGTGGTCAACAAGACGGAAAGCATGCGCAGGATCATAAATAAGCCCAATGTGGACTGTGAAAGTGCTGGGGCTTTCTGCGGAGGATATGGGACGGCAAGGGGTGACGGGTTGGAGGATGGCTATTGCTTGGGTGCGATTGCCAAGACCTTGGCGCAGGGTGGATGAAATAGAGGCCAGAAGGGCTGCATCAGAAGACCCATATTCGACGAGAGCCGAAGTAGACTGGTTCCGAGAAGCTTGCGACAAATCCACTCTGAAAATGGTTAAGTGTGGAATCCACAAGAATCAAGAAAATACTTGCCTGATCACCGCATCAAAGCGAGAGGAGAGTTTGAACCGATTTTTCAGGAAACACTCAGCAAACGTGTCAGAACATGTACCAGGGTTGCTTAATTGCTCCAGGGTCTCCTTAGCATCGTGACTTAGCTTGACGATTGACAGTCAGCGGCATGTGTTTACAGATGCTGGCAGCGAAGCTCACCAAGTCAAGTGAGGTGAGAGGAACATCAGACAAAAAGTTAATAGTAGATGTTGCATCCACGAATACGGCTGGGTGGTGGGTGATATACTCCTCCGGGGGGCACTAGAAAGAAACATCGATGGGCAAGTTCCACGTCCGTGTACAGAGACGTACCCTATGTCCATTAGTCGTCTTTGTGAACACCGGAGTCTCGCCAAACTTCTGCTTTGCTAAACTCCCTATCAGCTAATCTCATGGATGGGGAGAACGAAGGTTTCACCAAGAAAATCGAGCGCAGCTTTGAACAACTGATAAGAACTCAATCCCTTTCCCAACGGCTTCCTCAGTTTTGCGCTCCCGCTCTCTGTACCAACAAGCTCCTCGCCCGATATCAAATAACGCAGTAGTCCGGCCCAAAACGAGCCTTTTCCCTCGAAGCCTCTCACACATAATTCACCGTCGCCATAACCTCGCTGGTTAGCCCACACTCTTAAAAGGGTGTAGGCATCATGAAAGGCTGGCAGTACATTTTTGAGTCCGTGAGTGGACTTGAGGGCTTCGTTTGCATATGTGGAAAGAAGGATGGCGTTGTTGTAGATTGGAGTAGGGAAAGATGGTGGGGACGAAGAGGAAGGCATGCGGACATTCGAATGTGAGGGAAAGAGCCTTGACGGCGATAATGGACTCAGTGATGAAAGGACAGGGATAACATGAACTTCAGCATGACTTTTGAAAAAATCATGAGATGTACTCCCTTGTAAGGACGTCAGTTATCTTTTTGATATCAAAATGAAGAATTATACCATTCCGTGGCCTAAGAACCAACGAAGTGAGGCGAGGGTCTCCATGCACAGATGAGTAAAAGGTGTCCACGTCGAAAGCGGTTGAAATGGATTGAGCTAAAACAGCGAGGTAATAGGACTTCTTGTGGAAGAAACGCCCATCAAGGTAATCTTTTTCTTGAAAAAGAATCTGCGATGCATCCTTCAGTAGTAACGAAGACGACGAAGCAAACAGCGCACCTCGGGCATCTCCACAGACAGGTCAACACCAAACCGACTGCCATTCTGCTTTTTTACAGTGATTCCGTTTCCCCAACTTCCAACAATACAGATTTCCCTTGGAGGCTCGAATGCGACTTTCCATTTGACATCTCGAGACGGGAGAGGAAACGCAAATGGAACTGCAACGCCTTGTTTGGAAAGAGCTTTTGCAGCTGCCAAAGGATTCAGAGGTTCAATAGAAGGAATAGAGATGCAGTGGGTGTGCAGAGCAAAAAGAAAACGATCGAGCTGTTCTCGACCAGACTCTTTGGGTCGGACATTGGGAAGGAGTGCATCAATCTGAAAAAAGGTGAGCTCAACGAGTTGTCACTAGAATGATCTGGCCAAACCTGAAGCTTGAATGAGCCAGACTGATAGAGATCAGCTGCATCCTTGATATCCCTTAATTCATGGCCAGTAAGAGGTTCTTTGGACACCACATAAGTTCAAACCGCGTTTACTACGAGGTGAAACATACCCTCTCTGCTGTGGCGATTAGCGTCTTCAAATCCAACTTGGGTCATCTCACTGGCATGTATTGGTGATCTTTTGATGATCGTCGCGGTAGAGACCTTGCAAGGCCTGCACCTGTTGTCAGTATGATCGCAATGAAAAAAGCAAGAATCACGTGACCATTTAGTAGGGGTTACAAAACAAGCAAGCTTGCCGCATGCTCCCGCTCTTTCGCTTTTTCTATGGACGGACTACAAGGCCCTCAAATTGAAGCGTTACAACAGCTACAAAGTATCCTTGGTCCACATGACACGGACTTCGTAGTTAGTGTACTTGAAAGTGTCTCATGGGATGTTCAAGTGAGTGTTGACTTATAACTTGCCGTGTTTTGCGGTTGAACGGGGGTCCGCAGAAAGCCACAGACCTCCTGTTCGACAATGATGCCCCTAAAGTTATAGCACCAACACAGACCGCTCCAATAGAACAGTTGGAGCTGGATGACAATGAAGACTCGACATCCACAATCAGACATTCTCACCGTGGTCAGGGTGTACGAATATTCCATTTTCTAGCTGTCTATGGATAATGACACCTCTTGCAGAACCCGCGATCCAATTGGGGTTTTTTATGGTCTCTACTCGCTGTTCCATTACACCTCGTGTCGGGAGTGCTGCGCTTCGTGTTTAGCATCCTCCGCATACCAATACCCTCTCTACCATTCATGACTATAAATTCCTATCATTCTCACCGCCCCACCTCTCCAGACTCACGAAGCATCACCCAGAGGTGGGTGCAACAACTCGAGGAAGAAACAGGTGCATGCTCGTCGAAACGTTCCATGGCGAACGCGGTCACGACAGGATTCGAGGCAGGACCATCAACTACAAGACGTCATACATATCCACCTGCGGCTTCGGATGATAATCAGAAGATTCTACCAGACTTCTTTGATGGCAGTTATGAAGAGGTTCTTGACATTTGCCAGAAAGAAGGACGTATAGCATGTGTTGTCCTCGTGAGCGCTGAACACGATGATGATGCAGATTTTAAGAGGTACGTAATGTTCACCTGTGCATGATGTACGATTTATCATATTGTTCTCTGAGCACAGGTCTACTCTTACCGACGGAGCCTTCGTCAAGATCTTGCTGGATAATGATTTCCTTGTCTGGGGCGGGGACATCCGGGACAAAGCTGCATGGGATGGTATGTACCAGTTAATATAGCTTTTACAATGATAAAGCCTTCTCCAGCCTCGCAAAAATTGCAAGCCACTACATATCCCTTTGTGGCCTTCCTCGCGCTTCAGCCCAGGCGCCATGGCGCTCCTTCTGGTGCTGCCCCGGTTGTCACCATCCTATCACGTCACCAGGGTCGTGCAGCCGCAACTGCTTCAGTATTGATCGACCATCTCAATACGCAGCTACTTCCACGTGTAACACCATTCCTTGTACGATTCAAGACAGTGTTACAAGACCGTGACCGTGACCGGCGTATACGTGAAGAGCAGGATCGCGCATTCAGGGAGACGGCTCGTAGAGATCGTGAGGCCATCGAGATGAGAGTGCGGCAAGAGAAAGAAGAGGAAGAACGCGTACGAAAACAAGCAGAAGACACAAAAAGAAAGCAGGAAGATTCAGCCAGGCAGGAGCATCAAGCCGAAGTACGTATGGAGTGGAGGAAGTTCATGCGCAACCGTCTCCTGTTACCCGAGGCACGCGGCTTGAGATTGGCTGTCAAATTACCCGGCAATGGACGAGTTGTCCGTAGTTTTCCTCCGTCGGCGACCCTTACTGCTCTCTATGCCTTTGCCGACTCGCAGCTTATTCCGTCCACTTCTCGACCGAAAGATGACCCTTCGCAAGCACCGGAGGGAGCTGTTGATGATATCCCACAGCTTGATTCTTATATCCATAGCAGGACGGCAGGACATGCATGGTGGGGCTTTACACTCGCTTCAACGTACCCCCGGAGGGAATTTAGGTGGAAAGCAAATGCGTCTTTGACAGAGACAGGACTGAGAGATGGAGAGCAAATTGTCATGGAATTAATCACTGAACGTGGGTCTGTTAATGGTCGGATCTCTGACGACGAGTACGAGTCAGAAAGCGATTAGAACTCTTGTCATAATGCATTTTGTTATTTATCTTTATGGATGGACATATGGAATAGATACAGTAAGGTCCAGGTGTTGATGGAAAACAAGATGTTATGATCATTGACTAAGTATTGTGCGCACGAATGATTCGTAGTTCACGTTTCCGTCGCTGAATTAAGTGGTTAGCCGGATATGACAACAAATAGAGATTGGCTACTTACGGGCCGATCTGAACGCCTTTGAGTAATTCATCGACCTCTTCGTCTGACATCTTCTCGCCAAGTTGCGTCAGCACATATCTTAGCTCTCCAGCCCCAATGAAACCGTTCCCCTCTTTATCAAACACCTGGAATCCTCGGATAAACTCCTCTACATAACGATCAACAGATTGTTATGCTACAACGAACGATGTAAAACGTACCAGGTGTTCCTGCAGGCTTAAATCCATCTGGTCTATTGAGGATTGTCAAAAATGTCTTGTAGTCAACTGTCCCAAAGTAAATTATTATAGAACCAACATCAATCAAAAGCATCCGAGACTGTACCTTCTCGTGGCGCATTCGCGATGATCTCGGTCACTTCAGCCTGGGTTGGGTTCTGGCCGAGGGCGCGGAGGAGATCGCCTAATGTCTCTCGTGGAACAGCGCCTGTGCCCTTCTTGTCGAAGAGCGCGAAGGCCTCCTTATACTCTGTAAAGTGATCAGTCCGCGATGTACTAGCTAGATAGCGCGGAATAGCAGACCTGCATTGTCACTCTGTAAGAATCGGTTAAAGTTAGTGCGTATAAATGTTTAAACGCGAGACTCACCATGGCTGCTCTATCGATGCCATCAAATACAAGTTTGGTTTACCAATACATAATGGCTTACATAATCATCGAAATTTAGCCTTCATGTCTTCTGTGTCTGTGAACCGTCGCGGATACAGAAGATATGAAGACGCTTTCCTTTTCATTTGTGCTGTGCTGAACACCTACTTCCTGGACTTTTAATAGTTATATGTACATGCTACCCTCACCAACCTCCGCAAGATTCTGCCTCTTTTTTGACAGACCAAATGCACTCCCTGCAGCTGCACTCCTGAGTGCCCAAGTACCGGACCGTTCCGCATTAACCACCCCAAACAGCTTTTCATCCACTTCCGCCATCATTTCAACAGACCATGCTTGATCCCCTGACGGTCGTGAAAGTCTACTACTTGATAGTTTGGATGGCGCGGTGCGGGGTATCCCTGGTGATGGAAGGAGTAAAATCACTGCATGACTTTGATGGGACGAAGATAGAGTGCGTATGTTCATCGCAGACATAAATGCCGCCGATGTCGACTGGAGAATATTTGGAGGCGCAAAACTTTGAAAGGGATCCTAGAAATATTTCGGTCAGAAGTTCACTTAATATGGATGCTATGCATACCAAGGATATGTCCCGTAGAGACAAATAGCGAACGGGCGCCTCATGCACAGGCAAGGGCTCTGATGAAATGTAGCTTTGTATGGAATACACATCAAGGATGGAAGTGCTGAAAGGTTGAAACGGTCAGCTTTGTTCACACAGCCGCAGACAGAGTACTCACGCGGACGGTTGGAGGCGATCCAGGATACCACTTACATACTTGTTCATGGACCATAACGGCAACGCCGTAGTGGCCTCGGACACCAGTACAACCGCGCGAGTTGATGAGGGTTTAAAAAGAAATCCCACCTGTAACACTTGATTTGTGTCCGTATATTAAAGAACCTAGAGCATGCACTAACCTGAATATTGTTGACGAATATTGTGCCCTGCTGTTCCCCTAAGTTTGCGCCATCAGCCCAAAAGTCTCCTGCAGAGCCTGATACGATGACAAGGGGACAGCCAGTGTTGAATTGGCCCTCGATTTTGATGTTTACAATCGGAACTTGATCAGCTCGTTCAGTGGTTAGTGGGTTGTATTCGTCCTCGTCATCGGACTCGATGGCATAACGTGGTGGAAGGGCATCGGCCAAAGGATCGACTTCCTAAAATCCAGGTCAATGATGGATGCATCTTTGCTGAAGAAACTCGCCATGTTTCAAGATTACAGACAAGATATCGAATGCGTAGGGTGACGCGTTCTGCTAAGAAGCGTGGTGGGCGAACAGGGTTTACGGGGTCCGACAATCTGGGTGTGGCGAGGTCCTCACGAGCGTGATGCGCCATGAATCGAACGCGGCTTTGATGCACCTTTATGCTATCTCACCCACACCTCAAGGCCTCATTCTCTACCAATATGGTAATTGTCTCAAATGATCCTACTTGGTGGCCGTCCATCAATTCATATCGTGTTTTAAGCTATTCTGTAGGTTCGTGGAGAGCAGTTGGATGTTGATGCTGCCAATGTCTCGATCTGACCTTGACTGCGATTTCGTAGTTGCCTCCTTTGTTGTAGTGATGTATGATTGGGGTGAGCATGATCATATTGAAGAATCGCTGATAGCCTACAAATATTTCCAGCACTTACGTTCGGTCAAGAGGTATGTTGGTACTATGACTAGAACAGCTATCTCGCTAAGAATGATTTCTCAGGTTGAACTGGTCTGGGTAAGTAGAGTCTCATGATGGAGAACACGCACAATATCATTAGTTCCAGAGGCAACGCTGGTCTCTAATGACAGTTCTGTATCTCAGTGTCTGTGGCTTGCCCTATCACGGTTGACATGTTGTGCTGACTTGAAAGTATCTTAGGTGCGCTATCTTGGAATAATATCTGCTGTGTATGTTTGGAAGACTCAGGACCATCCTTGTACTAATGCATCATCTCTCACAATCAGCTTGGACATGATGAGTATATCTTACGTTCTATGTCTTTGCTTCTTCTGACCGGCGGCGTACAGGTGGTGTTCCGACGATTCCGGCGACAGATGCAGTGAGTCTTCTGCACCAATACCTGCTATTCCCTCCAATTAACGGCAACCCTCTGTAGGAGTGAGTGTGATCCTTTGCTAACTTCCTGGTTTACTAATGACTGCCACACTACAGATGTGAGTCTGTTTGGAGTGTGTGTTATCTGAGGCTGCTCACTAACTCGATCTGTCAGGCTTTATTATGTACGTTGTATGGAATTGGACAGGTTTTATAGTATTTGCAATGCTGTGGGGTGAGCTTGGCACTTGCAAGACCTCAGTAGTATTAACTAGACTAAACATGCTGCAAGTCATCATCATCACTCGGTTACATGCCATGTATCAAGGATCCAGAAAGATTCAGATTTTTCTTATTGTCACCTTCCTGGTTGTCAATATTTTCAATGGAGTGTTCGGTATAATGTCGACGATGCATTCTTCAGGAGGTAAGATTAATTGTGGATGACAAAAAATGCGCATCCCATTGATGAATTTCAGAGGAGCTCATTCTCTCTGGGACCTACCAGTGCTCGATTGGCTTTGCGGAGATGTCATACTTCTGGATTCCATCACTTGGATACTTGCCACTGTGTGGGAGGTCCTCGTACTGTGTCTCGCAGCTTGGATTGCTGTAAAGTCACTTCCGTGAACTACGACAACATTCGGCAGGAGGGATTGTCGGGGACTATTTTACGGTATTGATGAAAACTCATGTGGTTTACTTTGCGAGGTGAGTTCATAATGTGAATATGGTTCTCTTTATCCGCTGAACTATCAAAACTGCTAGTTTTGTTGTTATTTCTTGCCTCAGCCTCGTTATTTTGTCACCAACGATCTCAGCAGTATGTCAACCTCCCACTACATGCGACCACGATTCATAATTGCTATAGGACCAATTTTCCCGGGAAACTCAGCTTTATTATGGCTTCCTTCAGATTTTGATGGTCGTGCAGTCGTTTGTACTGGGACCACGCCTGATCCTCGGCATTCGAGAGCATCACGCTAAGCTTGTAGCTGACTCTGGCGCAGCAACCGGCTTGACCTCAATTGCTTTCCAGGAGCGCGTGCATATATCGACTGGCAATGGTGTATAACACGGGAGATGCTCGGCGGCTGCTAAGAGGTGTCTAGTGCTCTGCAGAGAGCAGCAAGAGAATTCGTGTTTATTCACTCCCATTTTCGTCTGGGTATTGATTTACGTGGATTCTTGTAAAGGAGACATAGGTCTAAGCAATATTTTCGTCATAGTATTTATCTAAGTGGGTAGCTATATGTCCTGACAATGTTTAAAGCTTGGATGAAAAAAGATGTTTCTGCGTCTTTTCTTTAGCTGAAACCCAGCACCTCTTGGGAGTCGGGGGAATCCGAAGGAAGAGGGTGTCTCAGGTCGTGGTCAGTACTGTGGGAGATTTGAGGGCGTTGAAGATGTCGGAAATTTCTAGCGAGCATCTGAAGCAAATCATTAGGCAAGCGGAGTCCCCCCAGCTCATATGTTCGAGGGACTCGGTCAGGTTTTATTGCGAACCAAAAGACAGAAGTAGTACATGATACGGCAGCATAAGGCAAAGTAGATGCGAAACTCTATAATGTGTGCTTTGGATGAGTAATGAAACAAACTTCAGCAGGCGCGAGCAGACGGCACGGTGTTCAGAGGACAAGTGTGCGGCGTGCAGAAACAGACTCCTGGACCGTCATATGTAATCTGTAGGATCGGTTCTTCCAAGGTTTATTACCTTTATTTCTTATGTCGCTCACGTGAAATGAAACCAAACCTGTACCCTTAAAAAGGTCTAGGGAATGTTATTACTGATGTCCTTTTATGTGGTAAAATTATTTTGAAGTGGATTCATATAGTTGTGATAGGCGGTGTTCCGATTGTGTGATTCAAAGAGCCCTCATACACCGTACTAATCATCAATGATAATCACTTCCCCAGCTCTTACGATACTCCCACTTCCTCCGGAGCCTCTAGAGACACTCGGAACCACACTCCCACCGCCACCTGCGCGCCGGCGTCTGGTTACACGCTGCTCTACCTCCACAAGATCGATATCCACTTCATTGGAAAGGTCGCGTGGACGTTTGCGCGTGGGCGGTAGTCGCGACAACTCGTCATCGGAGTCAGAAATATCAATTGTCTCGGCAAGAACATTCGACGAGCCCGAGCCACGCGCAGGTTGATTGGTTGAGGCACGAGATTTACCCTTAGAAGTTTGAGTTACAGATGTTGAGGTTGTGGGCGTGGATGTAGATGTGGATGCGGGGACACGGACGGAGAACGTGGACGTGGATGCAATGGGTAGAGTCGGTGCAGGCATAGATGCGGGTGATCGGGCATACAGCTCTGTCCACCTCCGGGCTGTGCGGTCGTGCTGTACCCGATTCCGGATATATTCAGTTGCGATCGAGGGGACTGTGTGTGCACAAAGCGATCGTGGTTCAGAAAGATAGGACAAGAACAGGATGATGATGGAGCTTACCGAGAGGATCTTCTAGGAACAAAGAACATCGGTCAGCCAAAATAGACGCATGGGGTGAAAATATGTCCAAAACAAGTACGGAAGGTACAATGAAAGGATCAGGAGTGAAAATAGCATGTACTTACGCGGATTAGGGTCGGTAAGAAGGGATGAGAGGGAGAGCATGACCTTGAAGAGTGACAACGCAGGTGACCAGTTCTGTTTGAGAATATCAATGCATATGTTGCCCTTGTCCGATATATTCATGTGGTATATCCGGGTTACAAAGGTAACCTTTGGTGCCGAGAAACTATCACAAAACGATTAGTGAACACGCTAGTTGGGTGTGGAAGGTGCTTGCGGATAGTCGTTTGCCAGCTGAATATTAATGTTGAATACGCCGCCTTCATATGGGCTCCCTTGGGGTCCAGGGATGGTACCTGCCCAGCGAAAGAGGTTGTCGGTGGAGGGTGCGAGGGTGATGGAGCCTAGGTCCTCTTTCTTGGCATCTGCGACCTCCCTGTGGATGCGCTTTACAGTCATCTGTCACGATGCTATCAATACAATTAGATACTTTAAATCAAGGACATGCAACGCACGGCATTAGAGAGAGCTGGAGGCATGTTTGCTTGTGGGAGAGAAGTTTCGAAAGTGAGCTGAAATGAGTGTACTTGTACGGGCCGACCAGGTTCGGCACGCGTGTGACTCTGAATATTGAATAACTCAGAATTTCTTGTCATATACTTATACTGCCCTGCGGTACAACTCACAACCTAGCTTCACCATATACCAACAGACTAAAGCAGCTTTTAACTTTCGTAATGGAAGTGTGTCCATTCCGCACAGTATATATTATGCCCATAGTATGGAAATTACCCTGTGCTTGCACTCACTCCATCCGAGCCGTATGGTGTCGATCCTAACAATGAATTTATCCCCCAGCATCAGTGTACATGGCCCCCACTGAAGTTCTGACAACTTGGAATTATCCAGTGAGCTGAGGCGGTACCACCTGAATGTGATATTCATATTCAAATCATAACTCCGTCGGCGCAACACTGAATTTGGGCCACTGCATGTCAGTTTCTAGGCCATCGCCCGAAGGTCGAGTGATCAGTATCATACTAGCCTACGCTGGCTTGCTAACGCTATCTCAGCATATGGGTACCCTCTTTCTACCCCTTTCCCTATGCTATTATAAAGTCGGTTCAATCTGTGATTAAGACCCTGTTTGTTCCGGCGGTGTCCCGTTCAGCACTGTGACAGGGTATCGGAAAATTATGGGATAGGGATATTCCCGGCAATGGCTCGCCGTTGGTATATAATCACCAAAAAACCTACCTGTCTTCAAATTTCATCAACCAGCATCTTTTCAAGACTTCGTATCCGTCCACTACCATGGTTCATCCGCACCAGACACCCTACGTCACACCTCATATCTTACACAGACATTACGCTCAAACTTCTGACAATGAATTTCACAGTAAACGTCGGTGCACCTACTTCTTTACTCCTATCCACTGAACTTTTCTGCAAACAGTCATCGGCCACGACCTCGAGTATTTCTCGCAGGCAGGATTTGACATGGACAGGATCCAGCTCAAACGCAATGCGCCTGTAGCTCAGCTTTACGAAGATGCCATCCGGAACGAAGGCGCGATCATCTCTTCTTCTGGCGCACTCATCAACTTTTCAGGCAAGAAGACTGGTAGAAGTCCTAAAGACAAGCGAATCGTTTTTGAGGAGACTAGTAAAGACAATATATGGTGGGGCTCCGTGAATATCAAGATGGATGAGCGTGAGTGTCGTTCTATTGTGTATTGATCCATTGTCTCAGTAGCTGTTTTAGACACGTTCGAAATCAACCGCGAGCGCGCTATCGACTATTTAAATACGCGTGACAATGTGTATGTCTTCGATGGTTTCGCCGGTGTAAGTCTTGTCTCACAAGTGCATGGGCTTTATACGACTTATTGTTTTCAGTGGGATCCTAAATACCGTATCAAGGTCCGGGTCATATGTGCTCGTGCTTATCATGCTCTGTTCATGGTACGTAACCATTGTCACGTATATTTTTCCTCTGCTGATGATCCGGAAGAACAACATGTTGATCCGCCCGACTGAGGAAGAGCTAGCCAGTTTCGGCGAGCCCGACTTCATCATCTACAACGCTGGTCAATTCCCTGCAAACCGTTTCACTAAGGGCATGTCATCTACTACCTCGGTGGAGATAAACTTCAAGCGTATGGAAATGGTTATCCTCGGCACTGAATACGCTGGAGAGATGAAGAAGGGTGTCTTCTCTGTCATGCACTACCTTCAACCTGTGAAGTTTGGCCAACTCTCCCTTCACTCATCTGCCAACGTCGGAATGAAGAAGGGCGATGTCACTCTATTCTTTGGCCTCTCTGGAACTGGAAAAACAACACTCTCTGCTGACCCTAACCGCCTTCTCATCGGTGATGATGAACACGTGTGGTCAGATACAGGGGTGTTCAATATCGAAGGAGGATGTTACGCCAAGTGTATCAATTTGTCGCAGGAGAAGGAGCCGGAGATTTACAATGCCATTCGCTTCGGTTCCATTCTGGAGAATGTCGTGTACAACCCTGCGACGCGAGTGCCGGATTATGATGATGTTAGCATCACGGAGAATACGCGCTGCGCATACCCGATTGAATACATTCCAAATGCCAAGATCCCGTGTATGGTGGACAGACAACCGAGCAATATTATCATGCTGACGTGCGATGCGTTCGGTGTCCTCCCGCCTGTCAGTAAACTTTCCCCCGATCAGGCAAGCTATCACTTCCTTGCTGGCTACACCTCGTGAGTTCATTCTTGCTTCCGTTTGTCCCACTCGCTAAGTCCTACTCGTAGTAAAACACCTGGCACGGAAGATGGCGTCTTCGAGCCGATCCCGACATTCTCGACCTGTTACAGTGCGCCTTTCATCGTATTACATGTGGATCTTTCATCTCTCTCTGGGGCTTCTGAACTAATCCTTGCATTTTCAGCCTGGACGCTACGCAGAAATGCTGGCTGAGCGCATGTCCAAACACAACGTATCCTGCTGGTTAATCAACACAGGTTGGACAGGTGGCAAGTTTGGCACTGGCAAGCGCTGCCCACTCAAGTACACACGTCGTATTGTCGATGCTGTACACTCTGGGGAGCTTCTCGACAGCGAATACGAGACATTCGGCGTCTTTGGGCTCCAGATTCCTACTGAAGTGGATGGTGTTCCGCGTGAAGTGCTTAACCCGCTTCTTGCTTGGACGGACAAGCAGGCTTTCGAGCACGAGGTCCGCAAGCTCGCAGGCATGTTCCAGAAGGCGTTTAAATTATACGAGGGTGATGTACAAGAGAGCGTAAGGTTGGCGGGTCCACGTGTGGATTAGAGTCATTTTTCCTTCTCCCTTTATAATTTAACATATGTAAGGCTGCTTGAATGATCCATCATTATCTGGATCAAATCTAAACTTAGAGCTTCTGTATGCTTTGTCGTATATACCTAGTAAAATGAATACCTGTCATTCTACCAATTTCTAGGCCTCAAATCTGCGCAGATTAGTAATTTTGACCGATACTGTTTGCACCCGATCAACCTAAAGGTGTACCCCGACTGTTCAGACTATTTGCGCAGAAGCTGGTGGCAAAAAAAGAATATTGTTGACCGGCAGTGGTAAGGAGTTACCGGATGAGCTGGTCAAGGATGTCCGTATGCGGGAGGGGACCTGCCATGGACTTGGAGGGATTGCCAGACTGGGCAGCAAGACGAGTCTAGGGAAATAAGAGCATAAAACGAGCTCATCAGAAGCTGGAATAGATAGAAAAACAGTAAAATTACATACCACGGACTCTTGTGTGGGGTTATCGATCAGAATGCTTCGAGGAGGTTAGTAACGTCGTCAAGGAACAGCGCGAAAATAGCCGGCCCGCAACGTTCCGTTAGGTTAGGTTTTAAAGCTCTGTGTACATCTATAGGTCTACCTGTCTCTGGGCGATCTCTCTGTTGCCAAATCTTATCAATGCTTGCGGCTTTCGACTTGGCTTCGACTGTTATTTATCTTCGTAACTGCTTATCAGTAACCTAGGTATACCCGGACAGATGTCTACAGTCCATTGGAGTCTTCATTTATGCGTAGATTCGTGCGCTTTCTGAATTGTGTTCTCCTCCACGTCTCGCGGGATGTTGGACTGAGCACTACTCATAATTCTACGACCTAACTCATGCCTAGCTATAGGGCTCATGTTGGTGCCGTGCAACTTCCTCATTGTACTCCATCCATGCCATTCGATTTGGCAGGTGGCTCTGCATTGAATATCGATGGCTCCCGGCGGTTGTATTAATACTGTGCACCTGTTTTGCACTTACAATTCGATCGAGCTTGGCTGGTTTTACACTCCGCAAATATCGTAGCAGGTATGGACTATCTATGCACGTTTCCCTGTGACCATTTCAAGTCCCTGTGCGAGTTTCACGCTGCTCGCGTCGATCCTTGGCTGCAGAAACTGGATGAGTTGCCCTCGCGGCCTGGCACGCCTACAATGAGGCACCCTGGCATGGCGTCATTTGTTTGTTATGGTCTTTACAACCTTGCGTCCGATATTACATAGCTCGAGCCTGTCCATGTCATCACTCATGATCTCCCATTATAGTTCCATACTGCTTGGCAGCTACATGCTCGGCCTTGTGTGATAAATTATGCCTTTAGTGAGATCTTGTCTTCTTCAACCTTTGAGAGACATATTTCCAGGCTTCACCGGCCGGTGGTCTGCATAGAGTTTACTTATGTTGGCTGTTTTCAACGTTGATGGTCAGCGTCATCAATAATTACTGGTGCTGAGCACGTTATATGTATACCAGAGCAGTTTCAACGAGTCAAACGGTGTTTTTGACTACGAAGTCGATCATTCTCGCCCCAACGGAGATAGCTGATGAGGGAGACTTAGTAATTAAGGTAAGTTTATAAGAAGCTCTACAACTTTGGATCATCGCTCATCCCGCAGTTCGGTGGCGTCATATGTGTATGAGATATTTTCACCCACATTGACAATATTTGGCCAGGAATATTGATCATATGATATGTAGGTCAGCCGGCTTCCTGGGGCCTTGAAGACATATAAGTAGGATATAACTTGTGATACCAGGGACGCTTCCATTCTGCTTTACATCCAGCACCAACGGACCAACCATGGGTTCTGACACCATTGCCATCTTCAACTACTTACTCGCTCCACCTGACGGCTCTCGGCCCTACAATAGAGTGTATGCAGATAGTGCCACAGAAAAGCCGGCTCGCAACTGGATCGAGGACCCGCATGATATGCAAGTCGAGGACATGCGCGGGAAAGAGGAACTTTACAAGCTTGACAATGCCGGATTTCAGTATGGACGAGAAGCCCCGAAGCATACTAGCTTCCTGAATGATGATGAGATTGAGCGCGAATACTACCCTGAGAGTATCGACCTCATCCAGAGGGTCACGGGAGCAACCAAAGTTATCGTCTTTGATCACAGTGCGTCGATCACTAATTTGAAACGACGTCTCGATCTTAGTTTATATCGCAGCTATTCGTCGCCGTCGCCCAGGCGAGCTGGATAACTTTAACCCACAGAAACGTCAACCAGTCTCTCGGGTTCATGTGGACCAAACGCCTGCGGCGTCCATTGGTCGTGTTCATAGGCACCTCCCGCCAACAGAAGCTCATTCCCTCCTCCGCAGACGCTTCCAAATAATAAACCTTTGGCGACCTATATCGCATGCAGCTGTAGATTGGCCGCTTGCACTATGCGATTTCCGCAGTGTCGACTTCCAGAAAGACTTGGTGCCCGTCGCTCATATATACCCTGACCGCGAGGGTGAGACATTTGGAGTTAAATACAACCCAAACCACCAGTGGAAATATATGAAGGCAATGTCCCCAGAAGAGTATGTTCTTATCAAATGGTGAGCGAAGTAACTTGGGGGAGCTTTCGGTCGTGCTAAAAGGGTCTCAGCTCTGACTCAATACAGGATGGTAGTGTCGCGAGGTTGACCCCTCACACTGGCTTCCAAGACCCGAACACTCCAGAGGGAACGCCGCCTCGGGAATCCATCGAGCTGAGAGCTCTGGTATTCTATGATTAGAACACGTGTTATCAAGTGGCGTTAAGGGTTGACAAAGAACTCGTACCGCATTTTATTCCTGTATCTGTATACGTAGCTATACTTCGTCGATTTCACTCTTGGAAATTTTGCACAATCCTCGTGGACATATCACGACTACCATGACACTCTCAATGCATTCATGACAAAGATGCATCCGGCGTGGAGAATTCTGAAGTGACGTCGATCGCTGCAGCTCATGAACCAGCGAGTCCGCTCAGCCTATTCAGAAGCAGGCACACCCTTGGTTGCTCACAATATCCAGAGGTCCAACTCCACGTGCGCATCGAGGGGGGCTCATGTCTGATCCCGGGCACCCCCACCAGGACTTCCGCCAGATCCGGCCCAACACGAGAAACCATGCAGCCCACCACTGGAGGCGCGCATCCTTATCAAATATAAGATCAAGTGAAACAAGGGTAAATACCTACTACAACCCTATTCTGGAGTAGATCCACCATCCTGCACCTCATATAAACAAAGGTGTACAGGGAGGACTTCTGCCATCTCAGAGTGAGCCGGAACAAATGCATCCAGAGCCCCAGTAGCTGCCTCGATGTATCGAGCAATACGAACGGCGTACTTTGTTACCCAATGAGTGTAAACACTCTTACTCTTGATTAACAACTGGAAAGTCTGTAGTTCATCGTCTGTCATCAGGAAAGGCGAACGAGCCAGGATGTCCGAGTCATTAGACAGGCTAAAAGAGTAGATGGCAGCTGTGAAATGCTCGGTGAATGCCAGACGGTCCTTGCGAAAAAGTTCTTTATACGGAGGATCGTTGCTAGCAGGAATCATCAGGCCTGATCAATTCAAAATGTCGTTGTTAGTGTCGACTTGACCTTACGGCGGTCCTCTCATAAATTATTTAAGCGGACCCTAAACCTTGGCCACCATGCACCGCGGCTAAACCTTCACATGGGAGACGTTTTGCTCCTTGTTGCAGAAGAGTATCCTCGCTGTATAGAGCCAAAGTTAGCTACCTAAACCTTTTCATGTAGTATTGCTCCCCAAGTTCTAAATCTTTCCCTAGTCTTAATATTCCAGTTTAACGTTTCTCATTAGTACTGGAAGTGTGACTACTGCATGCAAAATCGCTTAACTGCTCAAAACTTGCCTGAGCAAAACAGATGGGCCGGCGGCCCTAGTGGACTACAAGTATGACGAATAAAAGGTTTCGGAGGACATTTAGCAATAAAACATGAAAAAATTTAGAAATACTACTATGCCTAACAAGGTTTAGCAATACTGCATGGGAAGGCTTAGGATACAGTGAGGATTAGGAGGATGCTCTTCTGCGACAAGGTGCAGAACGTCTCTCATGCGAAGGTTTAGCTGATGGCCATACGGTCAAGTCAACATTGACAACGACATTTTAGAATTGACCAGGTCTAATTTAGACATCTTTTGAGGCTCTGAATTCAAATCTGGGGTCAGACTGACCTCAAAAAATCACCCAGTTGAGATACCGATGAGTTTGTTTGTCCGCGACTTACAGTAGTATCATCACATAGACAAAAATCTATGCTCGCCATCGGCTTGCTTAGATAAGGAAACTTTTAGAACAACTCACGAGTGTCGTGTGTCGGCATCCAATGCGGAATTATCGCTGTCATTGTCAACCAGGGTCATCGCATACTCCTTACCAATGAAATACTAGTCAGTGTCGGTCTAGTAGTGCCAAGGACATGTGAGACGTAGCGTGTCATTTGTATTTTGATAGGTTATACTGCTACATACAAGTCATTATTGTGACTCACATTACAGTGACTCACTCGAATTATGTAATTTCATTTCATTTATTTACATAACTTCTGAGTGAACTACTGTAGCTTGATCGCCGAGTTGGCAGATTCGTAAGGACGGACAGCGATGATCACTCGAATACACTGAACAACTTATCTGCATCTTTAGTTCTCTAAACGCATTAGGTCTATCTTCCGAGCACACAGAGTCCCGAATGTTCGGTGAATCTGACTCGGAGAGCCCACGAGTGCCCTCCCCATGGGACACACTCACTTCCTTACCTCCAACACCAACACGCAACGAAATCCTTCGACGAGGAATACCGCAACTAGTTCCGGAAAGCGAAGAGGTGCGTTTCATTACTGTTTATTGCATACGCCAATACCCTTCCTACCAATTACTACTCACAGGGTAATGTAGAGTACAAGCTTCATCTCCTTTCTCCTTCCCCCTCTCGTTTCACCCATCTTGTCACACAACTTAAATGGCGTCTTCTGGAAGGCGGTGGACAAGCATACTACGAGCTTGGTGTGGCTGACTCCGGCGTACTAATAGGGCTGGGGAGGCGGGAGATGGAGGAAACATTGGGTACCCTGGAAGAGATGGCTGGCGAGATTGGCGCCAGTGTTATAGTGGTGAAGGAGATTGAGGTGCCAGCGGAGGTGAGCGGAGTCATTGAAGACTGGGGCGGGGATGGAGGCAAACGAAGGAGACGTAGGCAATTGATGAACGAGGACTCAGAGACGACAACGACTACGGAGACCGAACTGGAGACTGCTGATGCGGACGATGATCTTGCAACAACAAGCAGCCATTTGGAAGTGTTCTGCATGGACGATGAGAAAGGTGACTCGTCATCAGACGGCGCGGCACTTACGCTGGACCTCGAAATTGCGACCGTGTATAAACCTCGCCCATTCCGCCGCCGTGTTGCGAGCACCATGTAAGGCCACTCGGATAGGCGCAAAGGCAAGGGCAAGAAACCTAAACATTTGCTTGCGCATACCCGTACTCAGCCTAATTCACATTTCGAGCATCATACACATCACTTGCACTACTCCAATGTTCTCAACCATACACACCCAACTGAGCCCCCAATCCACTCAGCGACTGACAGTAAACAATCCAAGCGCCGCGCAGCAAGAGACAAGCGACGTGAGGCCAAGCGTGATCCTCATCTCATGCACGTTCCAACCATTAATACCGAGGAAAGGGGCGAGCTTGTCTCAGGCCTGGAATACTTTCACGTCACACTTGAGCCTGAAGACTTGCGCGTGGCGTCCGCGCCCCCCGAAATCGAGACCTCAGTGCATGATGATGCACACCTCGAAGGTAGCCTCAATTCCCTTGTCTACGTTCCAGCGGTTGACTTTATTGTCTCCAAAACAGACCCCCGAGATGTCGAAGTATGCTCTGGGTCACCCTCTTCTATTTTTGCGGAAACGTATTGTCACCAGTCCGTTACAGACAAGTTGGCCTCCCCACCTGAGATCATGTTGACTTCGTCCAAATCTCCTACTGCTGAGATCGAGGCGGCAATGTTAGAACCTCGGCTGATCGTCGAAGCGCTTGTTGTTCGAAAAATGTCACTGGAGGAGGCGTTTTTGGATTTTGGAGGATTCTCAGTGTGTTGATACGGATCTGTTGGCCCAGTCCCATTTAACCGTTTATATTGTGCAATTACACACTCGGACTCATTTCTTGTATTGCAGTTATATTATTATTCATGGCAGATGCAATAGAACACAGCCTTTCCGTGTAACAATCAGTAATGTGACAGGTAGGGCTAGTGAGGGTTTAGCTATGCCGAGGCAAGGTACAGAAGGATCTTGCATGGTAGTACTCACTCAACTGTAAACTAATCCCCAAATTTTGCTTGCCGCTCCGTTCATCGCATCTCGCCACATCTCTCCCGCCCTGCCGTCTTTTCCACCTCTGTTTCCTTCAAGGACGTATGGAGTGCCGCGATCTCCACCCCAGCTCACACCCCCAACAAGAGGGAGTTGCGCTAGGAGAGGGATCCCGAGGCGCGACGCGTTAGCTGAAGTCCCGAATAGCTCATGCGCCGTGTTGCAAGAAGGACACAGGAAGGACGCTTGGTTAAGGATGAGGCCTGTTATCTGCAGATGGTAAAGAACACAATGAGAGTGAGGACGAAAGACAGTGTATATAATACTTACTGGAACGGAGATCTTTTTGAACATAGAGATTCCTCTTCTTACATCTGCTAGCGCGACGTCCTGTGGAGTTGAAACGATGACTGCGCCTATTTCATTTTAGACGGCGAACAGCATTTGAAGAGCTCGTGGAAGCGAACCGTCAACGACAACTAATTGTCCCAGTGTAAGGGGGACATCTCCCGTCCCTGGAGGCATATCTATGATTAGTACGTCCAGCCCAGGACCAGATCCGCCAGTGTCCCGCCAGTCGACATCGAAGAGGAGCTGCTGCACGGCTTTTTGAACCATAAGGCCGCGCCAGACAATTGCACCTTCAAATTCTGTGGAGTCAGGCGGTGGCCGAGGGACAAGGTAGCCCATGGACATGGTAGGAACACCATGATTGATTATGGGGACGAGAGCGCCAGCTAGTAACAGGGTCACCTAAAAGTTCAGTGTGTGCCAGGAAACGAACCAGGAGTTAAATGTGGGTCGTCCGAATGCTGGAGTCCCATCAAGGTAGGTATAGAAGGTCCAAAAATGTCCAAGTCAAGTATGCCAACTCGTGGTCGATGAGACAGCATTGCAAGGGAGAAAGCAAGATTTACTTCATTCATGGTCAGTCAAAGTTCGGATCAGTGACTACTGAGACGTACCTGCTATCGTGCTCTTACCCACACCCCCCTTTCCGCTTGCTACAACGATTACCTTCTTTACGTGCTCGATACGGCGTTTTTGGATTGGCCCGCCGCGTCGGGGCATTTGGGGTGCGGGGGGCGAGCGAAATGGGAGGCCCTACTGGAACGCATTGTCGGATACGCAGACATGAAAGCTCTTCAACTTACCAGAGGATTTTCATGGCTTTGGCTTGCAGTTGACGTGAAGGTGCGCAGAGCCGTACCACAACACCGTACTAATTTTAAGGTGAACATCATGTATCTATGAATTCCCGCCCTATCACACAGAGCCAAGTGTTGATGCTACAACAAACAAACAATTATTCTAATTGGATGACTTTCCGTAGCACATCGGGGATTCCAGACTGGTTTGAATGTCGTGCGAAATGTTAAGATAATACTTAATAATTAGGTTGTCGTCTAAGCGGATGTAAAATTTCAAATGTCAAAGAGATCTTGCATGACAAGAGAAATATAAAGTATCACATTTTGTTACACCTGAGACACAGCCAGAAAAGTTCTGTAAACAGATGTAACGCATATCCTGAGATATAGTCACCTATTTGTCTATCGTGCGGATGATGAACAGTTTCTGGATAAAATCACAAATATGCATAAGGATCAAATTCTATTGATTAAATTCAGAGTAAGTTTAGCAAAAACAGGGAGAATTTGTTCTATAATCTGCATACATTACATATCAACTTCATTTCGAAAATTTAGTTATAAATATTAATACACCTCCAAGGTTATATCTATCCATTCAAATTCATCTAATGAGTTACTAAGAGTCTGTTCGGATATGAAAATTTTGCCAACTTAACTTGACTCAATCCAAGTTTGCTTGGTCATGATTTGTAAGGGTGGAGTATCAACATAGATGTCACGCTCATTGCTGATAAAGGATATCATATTTGCCACCAATACATGTTGTCAATGCCATGAATACTGATGACCCTGCCCCTGATAACAACTCAAATGCAACAGGTGGCTCTACTGTTGAAAATCTTGATGGTACTACCATAGTCAACACGGATGGTGTGGAAGAGCTTTAGCTTCAGCACATCATGAAGATGTTCTTTGGTGCCTCTTGTGCAGCCACAGTGATTTCAGTGTCTGCCTCACAAGCCCTTTGACTCTACTCTGGCTCTCACTATGAGAAGCAGCCATACCACACCTCTACTCTCACAGGAATGGGTTGAGTTAATGAACTACTTACAGGACATCCAGATCATATACAATGTGAACTTGGTGTATGCTGTCATGTATTTTATGTACTTTTATCTCTACTTCATGATTTGGGGTGCCACAATTCAAAATTTATATCACTTGAGGAGCAGCTTTCAATTTTTTTGTATGCTATAGTAACAGGGCTCTCTACTCATCACCTTGGTGAATGGTTCCAACATTCCAATGAAACAATTTTGAAGTATGTTAATCCTGGCTCCTTGTTGACAAACTCACTGAAATTTTAAAGGTATTTCAAACATATACTTAATGCATTTGTGTCCCCCCCTATCTATCAGTTGTATATCTGGCTACCTGCTGGAGATGACCCAACCTCCCTTGAGATCCTGCAAAATACCAAATACTATCCCTACTTTGCTGACACTATCAGCACTATCGACAGTACCACATTCCTTGCCACCCTAACAACAAAGGGTGTGATGCTGCTTGCAATTGCAAGGGCAACTTAACTCAGAACTGCCTTGTCACTTGCACATCCAACATGTCATTTCTCTATGTCTCGAGTGGTTGGGAGGGGTCAGTGGCTGATGCTCATATGTATCATAACACTTGGATCAAGGATTTCAACATCCCCCCCAGAAAATACTATCTTGTGGATGTGGGATTTGGAGCCTGTGATGAGTTACTCATACTATATTGCAATGTGCACTATCACCTAGCTGAATGGGGCAGGGGCCATCTCAGGTAAGAGCCTTTACAATTGCTTCATTTACATACTGACCCTTTTCAGGCCTTGTAATCACATGGAATTATTCAATCTATGGCATGCCATGCTCCAGAATGTTATTGAGCACATTTTTGGTGTGCTCAAGAACCACTTCCAAATTCTTTCCCTCCTGCCTTTCTACCCCATGAGTGTCCAAGCTTGTATCCCCCCTGCATTGTGCCTGGTATACAATGTCATCTGGGTCCATGATCCAGATGACATGATGGACTATCACCAAGTCAACAACAATGTTGTTGGGCCTGAGCACAACATTGGCACACTCACTGAGGGTCCTCCCTCTGACGAGGCTTGTACTTGTGCACATGAACATTGTGATGCCATTGCCCACCAAATGTGGGTGGATTATAATAGGTTGAGACAGGAAAGGGGAGAGTCTGTTGTAGAGGATGATCTCAATAAATAAATACACTAGCTTCACACCTGTTGTGCCAAAGGCACAGGAAGCAAATGGAGTGCTTTGTGCTCCTTTTTGGCTTCCTGGCCTTGGCAGCATCCTAGCATGTGTAATAAATAATTGATGAAAAATTGAATGAGAGCACAGGGGAATGGGGGAACAGACCAAAAGTGCTTGCTCCACTCACACCTTTGGCCCATTCCCCCATTTCCCTGTGCTCTCATTCAATTTTTCATCAATTATTTATTGACATGTGCTGCACTTGAACAGGCAACAGTATTGAGTTGGAGCTTGAAAACCCATGACCAATATGAACAGGCAACAGTATTAAGTCGGTGCTTGAAAACATGTGACAAAACCACATGAGATTTCCTAAAAGAAATTAGCCGAGTTAACTGAACTAAGCATTTCTAAGTGAAAGCCACATGAGCTAGTGAGACAATTCCCACCTGTTGCATCCTACTTTATAGATTGAATTTTGTCACTGATCACACAATGCACACAGAATTGCTATTCAATTTTGGTCTACATAAGCCTAGTAAGAGAAGTGCCAAAAAATGAAAATCATAATATGATTGCATGAACTATTTACTATACTTTGCCAAAAAAAGCTTGCAGATACTGTCCTTCTTGATCATGAGGTATGAATCAGCTATAGAAATGTCAGATTGAAAATGCTCAATGATAGTGACCACCTCATGGTCCTCTAGACCCTCATCTTGTACCTGAAGGATAGCTTTCTGCTTGCACAGAGGGACCAGATCCACAGACTGTGTGGTGTTGTGAGTGTGTTCTTCTAAAATGTCATAGCATGATCAAACAATGAAGTCAGACCCTTTGTGAGACCCTAAATCTCATGGTTCATTTGCTGAATGGCTTCAGGCATGCTGAGCCACGCAGACTTGATGGACCTTCCCAACACCAATTGACTTGCTGACTTGAAGGAATTAGGGGGGTGAATAAGTGTTTGTGCAGTGTCATCACCATTTTTGACTTCCTTGCACTTGCCCTTATTCATGGCTGAGGTGCCAGCAACTGAAGTACACATAGAAGATGTGCCCAGTGTTGAGGGAGCAAGGGGAGGCTGCTTTGCAGGATTGAAGAAGGTGGGGGGTGGCATCATCAAGATGTTGTTATTCTGGTCAGTGTCACCACTGGTACCATTCTTGATGTTGTCCAGTGCCTGGAACTGCTCCAGTATGTCAGCTTCTTGAAAGCTGGAGGCAGCTTGGCCAGTCACACTGGCAGATTACAGCAAATTGGGAGTAGATTGCAACAGAGGGTGACAGGCATGACTTCTGTGTGCTTTTGAGGGTATGATAGTGTTCATTTTTTTTTGTAAAGTTGCCATCCCCTGTTTCTGAAGCCCTTTGCAAGGGGTATCTCCTGGATCATGAAAAGGTTAGTAGCCATAGTAAGGAACAATAGA